GTGCGTTTGGGCAGAGGGGTGAGCCATAGGTACATGAAGGATCATCCTAGAATCAAGACTGGGTCCAAACTAGAACAAGCCATCTGCATTAACCTGTTCCAGGTTACTGTGTCATGTGTGACTGTCATATAATATCCAAAGAATTTTATTATATTTATAGCTTGCTTTCTTCTGCAAGGAACCCAAGGCAGCTTACATTATCCTCCTCTTCCTCTTCATTTTTTCCTCACAACAGCCCTGTGTGGTAGGTTACCTAGAGAGCATCATATTATATTTTAATTTTATGTTGTGAGCCACCCCGAGGCTTCGGCGAATGGGGCGGCATAGAAATGTTTTAAATAAATAAATAAATAATGGCTGACAAGGAACTAGAATGCAGATCTTCCAAGTCCCAGTGCAAGATTCTAATCACTATGCCACTTACTTCCATGCAAGTGTACACAGGACTGCAATTTTACTGCGACAAACTCGTTTCAATGAGGCATAAACAGGTAGTGTTGAAAGGAGCATCATCATGCAGCTATTGGCCACGAGTATTTCCACAGAGTTTACTGCAACTGACACCTCGGCTCTGTTGAAACTTTGAGACATGTCCATGAAACAAGTAAAGGAAACCACAACACAAAGGAGAAATTTTCAAATACTCCAAAATTCACATCACCAAAATGCTGCAATGAAGACTTCTACTGTTCTGCTTATCCTTAAAAAGAAGCTGTTCTTCATTTTTTGCTTGCTTGCTAGTTGCGAAGTGGTGTCTGACCCGTCACGACCCCATGGACAACATTCCTTCAGGCCTTCCTGTCCTCCACCATCCCCCGGACTCCACCTAAGCTCACACCGACTGCTTCAGTGACTCCACCTAGCCACCTCATTCTCTGCCGGCCCCTTCTTCTTTTGCCTTCAATTGTTCCCAGCATTAGGCTCCTCTCCAGTGAGTCCTTCCTTCTCAGAGTATTTGAGTTTCATCTTCAGTATCTGGCCTTCTAAAGAGCAGTCAGGGTTGATCTCCTCTAAGACTGACAGGTCTGATCTCCTTGTGGTCCAAGGGACTCGCAGGAGTCTCTTCATTTTTACTGAGGATCTATTTCCCAGAGCAAAACATTAACCAGCACTTTGCATATAAAGGAATACATGGACTAACACAGATAGGTGCTTCCAAGCACGTGCCAAGTGGTTTCCCTTGTCAGCTAAGATGTCACAATCAGACTGTTCTAGCTTGCAATGGCTATAATGCATGCAGTGATAGGACAGGATTCCACAGAATCTTGTCTTACTAGGAATGAGCTGTAAGCTTGTATTATTCATACAGGCAACCAGTTCACTCCTGCTGCAATGGGAGTGACTACTGTAACCAGGAATCAAAAGCTGAGAGTGTCCTCCAAACTGTCCTCCAGGCCTTTTTTGTTCAGTAGGAGCCAAAAGCACAAACCAGGGTTTGTTTGGGGTTGACAACTCCTGGCTTTGTTGGGAGCATCAGGTCCACAACTTTACTTCAGTGAAGGCATTAACTATTCTACTCCTGATAGCATCTCCACCACAAGGACTATTTAAACTAAGGGGGAGTCAGAGGTGCAATAAACTAGGATCACCAGAATTCCAGCTTACCATTGCATGTAATGGTTAACACATCCTTGAAGAAAAGATTCTTCAATGCATCATCTTTATCTGTGAAAGTAAGATTGAGAAGAGGCCTCTCCACCATAACATTACTATTACTATCTCTTATTTAAACCAGTCCTCCTCAACCAGGTTTTTTGGACTTCAACTGCAAAAGGCAGGATATAAATTGAAAATCGAAATCGAAATAAGCCTTAGCTATCACGGCCAATTGCCAGGAATGCTGGGAATCATAATCCACAACACCTGGAGGACATCAGGTGGTGAAAGGCTGATCTAAGACCGCAACCATCACTGTGTCTCATGGCAGTGAGTCCTGTAAACTAGTGACATGCTGTGACAATATGCAGGTCCATTTGCCGGTCCTGATTCCACCACCAAATAATTGCATGGAGTGATCTTATGCTCTACTAACACAGGAGATGCAGGGGAAGGGTTCTTATATATAGGTAAACAAATTCTAACACAGAACTCTGTTCCTCCAGACGTTGTTTGACCCCAAAGTCCCTCATCTCTGACCAATAGCTATGGTGGCTTGTAGGAACTACGAGGCCAACATTGTCGGGATGGCCATGTGTTTCCTACTCTTGTCTGAGCATAATCAATACAGTTACAAAAGCGGGAATACTGGGAAGGGGACAAAGGCTTCACACTTCACATACAGACCTTATCTCACTGGGTGATGTTTACACTCTTGCATTTCAGGCAAAGTTTAAGGGAGGAAAAGGAACAGCACATTTCCTTGAGGACCTAGTTAATACTCAGCACAGGGAAGGCTCAGGAGTTTGGAGTGAGGCAAGGCCTAGAATTCCCATGGATTCTTTCGCATCAGCAATCCTGAAGAAATGTGCTCTTCTACCAAGGAGCTTTTATCTTCCAAACTCTGACAGTCCGTGCAGAACAATACTGTCAGTTCTGCTAGGATAGAACTGCTAAGCTCACAGTGTCCATCCAAATATACCCACCTGCTTGGGGATGGGATAGCTGTGATTCCTGGAAATTTATTTACTTACTTCATTTTAATACTGGTCAATAGGCAAAGGCTCTCTTGGACATGGGTATGTTGTCCAGAGAAAGAAAAGGTACTCATGGACGTGGAAAGATGCCGCCATTCAGAGCAGGATGGAGAGACACATGTACTTCCCACACCAGACACCAAAATGCCTTGGGGAGGCCCTATTCAACATCTGTGTCCCCCAAAGATCTTAGATCAAAGTCAATGGTCTCGAAAGGTGCTGAACAGGATGAGCACATATACAGTGACTGTTCCAGGTGCCAGGGAGCATAACAGAGCTTGCTTTAGGTTTTTGAGGGCAGGAAACCCATGGTGCCCCTCCTCATCTATGAGTCTGCCTTCTTGCTGCCTTTGTCTCTGGCTACTCCTGCCTCTCACACTTTTTCATCAGTGCTAGCACTAGTTTGCTTGACAGGCTGAGAACCAGCAAGCAAGCAGGTCATGGGATGGGTGCTTCCCCTCACTGTTACTGCTGTCTGGACCAGAGCGAGAGGCAGTGTGACAACAGTGAAGAGGAGGCACAACTCCAGGCTGCTTTTGGCCACAGGCCCAAGAGGGTGGGCCCTTGGCGGGTGCCCAGCCATATCTCCCTCTGATGCCAGCCCGGGATTTTATCCAGGAGCTGCAGCTGTACATGCTACGGGCTGAAGTGTATGCTCTACTACCTCTGGCAGATGCTCCTCCAAATGCAGGGAATGGAGATGGTATTAGTCCACACATGCCTTATCACTTGCTCTCATTCCTAAAAATGTCTGATCTGACCAGAGTCATGCATGCTTCAATTACTTTCCATTGGGATTACTGCAACAGACCTTACATGGGGCTGCTGTCAAAACTGGTCTGAAACTTCAGTGGGTCCAGAAGGCTGCAGCCCACACTGTTGACTGGGAACAGTTATGGAGAAGATGTGACTTCCTTGTTACACCAGTCTCACTGGCTACTTTCTGTTTCTGGGCAAAATACAAAGTGCTGGTAACAGCCAGACTAACTGAAAGAGCACTTACTTGCATAATGAGCCTTCCTGATTCTTAAGATACCCTGGTCAGGGCCTTCTTTTGAGGTGTATTTGTTAGAGATCAAAAGAGGCCCTTTTCAGTGGCTGCACCCAGTGGTTCAACTTTTTAGTAGCCAAACTTCCTCCAAAAAAGGCTAGGTTCATTCCCTTTCTGTTGCCCTTCTGTGAGCACACAAAGACTTGCTTATCCAAGAACACCTTTGGCCTATAAGTGGGTCTGTTGGGTTGAGAGCTTGATATGTATTGCTGTGGTTGTTTGTAATTATTTGTTTTAACTGTATAATTAGAGTTGTGTCCATTTTTATTCTATTTTAATCAATTGGAGTACCTTTTTTTGGTGGAAAGGTGGGATTCAAATCAAACAATAAATCTTCCAGCAGCCTTTCTAACCTTCAGTTTCTAAATGAGCTTGGACCATGACTCCCATCATCCCAAGCCATTGATCATGCTGGGCTGGGAATTGTAGTGCAGCATCTATTGGACTCATCCCTGTCACCCCAAATGTAGAAAGGTTGTTTTAGAGAAATCTCCCTCGTGAAAGGTTAAAGAGGAAGCAGAGGACAATCAGGGGAGGCTTGTTTCTATGAAAAGCCAGTGTGGTGTAGTGGTTAAGAGCATGGGACTGGGACTCAGGTGATCTGGGTTCTAGTCCCCACTCAGCCATGGAGCCAACTGGGTGACTTTGGGCCAGTCACAGACTCTCAGCCCAACCTACCCCACAGGGTTGTTGTTGTGGGGATAAGATGGAGGAGGAGAATGATGTAAGCTGCCTTGAGCCCTTTGTAGGAAAAAGGCAGGATATAAATTGAAAAATAATAAATAAAAATAAAAGGAGAACATATGTGTATGCGTGCGCACGTGTGTGTGTGATGGGGGGGGGAGTCCACTTGTCTTCTGGGGAAATCCAAAGAGCAAACAGGTGTGAATCCTCTTCACAGGCGGAGGACCCTCTATCTACATTGAGGTATTCTCCATGTATTATGAGCCAGTGGGATTAAGCCAGCACATCCTTCCTTATGACCAACCTGAGGGAAAGGTAAATATCAGACGAGTCCCGCCCTCCGACGTGGAAACCGAGGCCTCGAATCGCACAGAACGCTGCAATTCACTTACATGGAGAGGCGAAAGAAAGCGCGCTCTGCACATGGTCAGAGAGACATGACTCCCGCCCCCCCCTCCCCATCCAACCTCTGAGAGAGGAGGTTGTTGCTGCAGAAGCAACCAGCCATCGCGCGCAAAGCCGAATGCAAAGGGGGTGGGTGCAAAACCCAAGGTTTCGTTTTCAGTGCAGAAAAACGAGCGGAACGGTGGGAGGTCGTGTGCACTGGTTCCCGCCGCCGTCGCCATCCTTACCGGTGCGGGAGTCGAAGGTGACCACGAACACCGCCACGATCTGGTCCTCCTCCACCTGCTCGCGCTCCGGCTGCCGCAGCTGCTGGAGGCGCCCCCCGGGACGGCTGCCGCCCGGCTCGCCCTTGCTGCCGCCTCCCCATGCCGAGGAGGCGCAAGAGCCCCGCCAGCCGCCGGGCTCGACCGGCTCTGGCAAGGAGACGGCCGGGCCCTCGGCCCAGAACAGAAGCGGCGCGTCGTCTGCTTGCTCCACCATGGCCCAGCCAGCTGCGGCGCGCCGAGGTGAGGGGCGGCGCTTGGCGGCCTCTGGAAACGCCCGGTCTCCGCCCTCGTCCGGCCGGCTTCGCCCGGCCGCTCCGAGAAAGGGAAGTCGGAGAGGTCTCCCTGCGCCGTCTCTGTCACCTGACGCGCCTGGCTTGCCCGGGGAAGGCGCGCTGGGCGTCCCAGTCCTGGGCAAGCGTAGGCGCCGCCGGGAGGCTGCGATCCTGGATGCGGCGCGCTAACTTAGAATGGGGAGTTCTTCCCGCTCGAGCACCTTACTGGGAAGTAAGCCCTGCTCTGCTCCGTTTACTCCCGAATAAGCATGCACTGGATCGCAGCACCTGAGAGCAGGAACCTATGCTGCCATATTCCAGATGTAAACCCTACTTTGAAAATCGTGCAAAAAAACTGCGACAGCCACTATCCGCCTACCTGAGAGTAAGCCCAAACTGAATTCTTTCTGAATGGGCTGGCTTTTATAAAGTACCTCTGAAAGGTCTTCTGATAATGGACTCATACCAGCACTTGTTGGGGGGAGCTTCCCATAGACGTTAAGAACACTTAAATTCTGAGTAGACAAATGCAGAGATTATTCTTTTTAATATATATACAGTTGGTGCAAGTCAATGCATGCTTAAATTAAAAAAAAAATACTTCGGCTTCCTGTATTCTGAAGCCAAAATGTCTGCTTCAGGAATTCTGGGAGTTGTAGGACTTTTTTGTTTTGTAGGATTATGCCGTTTAATTCTAAGCAGTTGAACATAGATTAGGAAGTGCACTTTTTAAAAAATCTCATGTAAACAGGCCAGTTTTATACACCGTTATGGACCGTCCCCACCACCACCGACATTTCATCCTTAAAATAACCTTATGAGGTAGATTAAGCTCAGCTGTGGTACATAAAGTGACCTTTAAGACTGAGGGAGAAGAATATAGATCACCTTGGATATAGTGCTGTATACTTCAGTGGGGTGTACTCTGTAGTAAGTGGGTTTAGGAGTGCAGCCATGCTAATCTGTGAGTAAGGTCTGTTGGGCAGAGTAGGACTGCAGAGCAAATATGTATGGGATTGAGCTGCAAGTTGCAGGCTGTTAGATGATGTTTATTGATGATGTGCACGGGACTGTACCCTGATAGCATAATCCTTATTGATTTTTAGAAGTGAGTTCCACTATGTTGAATGGGACTTCCCAATGACTAGGTGTAGGGTTGCAAGCTTATTAATCTGGGAATAAAATCTTTAACACATCTGGAAGCTTCAGTTTGGGCTGCAGCTCACACTAACTCTGGGGCATACTTCTGAGTAAGTATGGATAGGATCGCTGTGGTGTGTGCCAGGCCTTGTATCTTCTAGTGGTACTTATACAACCATAAGGTTTTTATTTTGTGTGCACATGCAGGTTGCTATTCTACAATGGAAGAAATTTTACTCCTCATAATGGAGCTCACCTGCCCTTTGGTAGATAAAAATACAAACAGTGGTCAGTGGTGGATGTGACCAAATATCTAGCAATTACTTCACTTTAGATTCTTGATATTCAGTACTTGGGAGATTTGTTTAATATTTAGGAGGTGCTGTGTGATTTTCATCATGCAGCCTATGCTTTTAACAAGGAGAAATTAGCATCATAGAAATTGCCTTATACCAAGCAAAATTTCAATCCTAGGGACCAAGCCAAGCCCACCTGGTATTTAAATCTGGCCCTGCAAGTTTTGCCATTTCATGGTTTCCCAGTTTTAATGCAGTTTTTTCACAACTGTAAAATGTTGAAAAGCTTTTCCAAGGCTTAGTTACTGACCATAAGAGCTTTATGATCAGTTATACCAGTATTTGGTTCCTATCCCTGTGTCTTTGGCACTGTCCACACTGGAATGTGTCCCTGAGGTTTTCTCTATGGTGGAGTTTTGGTCCCTGGGCAGAAAGAGGTTCAACACTCCTGCCTTATAACAAGTCTAACCACTGGTCCATCTAGTACAGGATTGTCAGCACTTCTCCGGGGTTTCTTCCTGGGAACTTTCCCTAACCGGAACTGAATCTTGGACATTTTACATGCAAAGCACATTTTCTACCATTTCCTCCTTCAAGGGCCCTTCAGCGAGCAGCCCGTCAATGTGTCTCCACTTAATGCAGATGAATTCAACAGCAATTTCATTTTCCTGCCTTCATGTTCCCTGCTTTGCCTTTTGTGAAGGAACTGTGTGGCTGTAAGTCCTTGCAGAATAGGCCATGATAAAAACACAGGATAAGCCAGAAGCTACTCTTAAGCACTATTTCCCAGGCTCTTCCCTCCCAGAATGCATCACACATCAGTGGGTTTACTGGGAAGGAGCTAGCAGGAAGTAGGGGTAATTACTTTGTGCTTTTAATTCTTGCCTTTGAATGGGTATTGCAGCACCAGTGAGAGTCATTATACATTTTGTGGGGCATTTACTAAGGGATGGAATTTTTTTCCAGTCAGAAAAATGTTTTGTCAGAAAACACTGGCTAGCTGGCTGTGTGCCTTTGCATCTGCTTGTAGCATATGGCCTTCCTTCTGGGGTTTAGAGATCGCTGTAAAAGAGTTATTACGTGGAACTTTTCTCTGGCTAGTTTCTGTGTATACTGACTGACTTAGACCCTTGTGTGAGAACAGCTGTAGGCTGAATGCTTATGCTTAATGAATATGAAACCTGGCTACAGCCGCCTCCTGATTCATATTCCCTTGGAGACAAGTACCAGTAAGTTCAATGGGATTTATTTCCCAATAAGGATCCATAGAATGTCCCTTGTTCCTGTGTCTCCACATCATGTACTGATTCCACCCTTAAAGAAAGCTTAAAATAAATGTAAATAAAATGAATAATGAATCTTTTAAAATAGACAGTGTTCCCACCAACCCACTCCATAAGGGACTATTCAAAAGGGACATCTGTATGTATTGAGTAAAAGTTGAAAGCTAGCTCTTAATGCCTAAGAAAGGTCACAGAACTAGGTCATGCCTGTGACCTTTTGCTACATGAAAGTAAGTAGTTAGGACAGCTGGAAGGAAGGTGCTTTAAGAATTGGGTTTGTTTTGCAGAAATATGGAGCAGGCTTGGGATAACTGCCAAGGTCATGGTTGAGGTAGGTACTGCAAAAAGTTTGTGTCTAGTCTGTACTATTTGCCTTTTTCTCATTCTAGCCACAATGGATGACTGGAACAGCAATAACAAAATTATTCAGAGGCTGGATTTTTCCAGCTGTGGAGAAGACACTGAGTTGGAAGAAGAAAATAGCATGCAAGAGGAAGAACTAAGACATGGCAGCCCCCAGAAAAACTGGAAGTCTCAGAGCTGGCGAATGCCCAGTCCTGTCCCAGTTACTCCACAGAGGCAAATAGTTGACCTCTCCCAGAGGCTTCCAAAGTCGTGGCCAAGTCCTGTGAGAGAATGCAAAGAATCTTTGAGAAAGAAAACTCTCTCTTTGAAGGATTACCCTGGGACTCCACTGCACTATGTTACTTGGCAAAAACTGCAACTCTGTGATACCCCAAATACCCCAAAGGTAAGGTGGATGGCATTGGTGGTAAGACTTGGTGTATCCTACTCCTCTAAGTAAACGAACTGCATGTGGCGTACAATGTAATCCTGCTCAACATGCTTGACATTTTGACAATACTCATAAATTTATGCCTTTTTTCTGTGTAAAATGCATTCTACTGTTTCAAATATGAAACTTCTATAGTCTTAGCAGGCAGGACCCCCGGCTGTGTCGCATGTTTTATCTGTCCCTTTCATGTCCATGAATCCTCAGCACTGGAGAAGCTCTTGATTTGCCAGAAAAGATTCTGCCTTGGTTGGTTTGGTACAAGTGCGTCCATAAAGATGTACCCTGGTGTAGTAGTGTTTTGTAGGAGGAGGAGAAGTGTGCCTTTAAACCAGAAGTAGCCACCTGTGCTCCCGCCACAGTGAGCACTGCCCACCTCTGAAAGAAAAGCTTTAAAAAAGAAAGAAACTAGCATCTGTGGGACTGTCTCAAAAAGTTGGCCCATGTTGTTTGCAAGCTGGATTTGACCATGTTAGGGCTATATAGCTGCTACAAAGCCCTAATAGGACAAATTACCTGAGATCAAACAAAATGCCATTTTGAAGGGGGCTATGGCCCATGAGGAGGGGGTCCAAGGGATTAAAATGGCCCATGCAGCTCTTGAGGTTGTCCACCCCTGCATTAAGCCAAGTCATCATGATGGATTCATCTTGCATTCCATTAGGAAGGCTCAGCACAGTGTATATATGGACCTATCTTGTGGGAGGATGCTCTGCATTTCCTGGTACCACTTGAACTGTGGTATTGGAGCAGGGCAGCATTGTTGAGCTCACACCTGATCACCCAGACCTCGCAGCCCTCCTGTTGTTACTGGGGCTTGCTGGCTTGTTGAGTGAGAAAGCAGAGAGAAGGGACACTTGCTGCTCCCTGCTGATTTCCTGCTTCTTCCCACTGGGCAATAAAGCACAGATAAAGGGGTATGCTTGGGAGCAAAAATTTAAGTGGGCTATTCCCCGCCATTGCAAGGAAACCAGAGCAAAGGAAAGAGAGAGGAATGTGATCTGGACCATTGCAAGCCAGGTTTGGCCAGTTCAGGATTCAGAAATCCTTGCCAGTTTCTTGGAGTAGATTGGCAAGGATGCCTGAATTCCAGTGCTTCAAAAATAGCAGCAGCAGTTCCGATTTACAACCCCCTTCATGCTTGGACTTCTGAAATGAGAAATTGATTTTTGCATAGAAGGACTATGAGCTCAGCTCTGTTATGCTACTCCAAATGTATCCTTGTGCAAGAAGAAAGGCAAGATATAAGTATAGGAAATGAATTCTCTCCTCCCACCCCAGTCTCACGAGAGGTTGTGTTCAGAGTACAGGATGTGGACTGGAGGAGCCTTGGTTCAAATCTTCTTAAAGTCTTCAAGTTCACTTAGTGAATTTGTGATGGTTATCATGGGTAGTTGAAGCTACTTCAAGAGATTGTTTGGAGGATAACCTTAAGAGGAAGAGAAACACTCCTGTTTTCTCTGATGAACTGCTGGGTATCAAAGAGTTCAGCCTTCCCCAGTACAATTTATTCAGCACATGCTGGAATGGGGATGCTGGGTTTGCAGGTTACCAACTTGCAGAAGACTGGAACAACTCTGTTTAACCATCAGAATGTAGCATGGCAGAGGCAGCTCGGATTCAATTCAAAGGAACTTCTGCCAGTTATTTATCCCAGGTTCTACGTCGTGACTCTTCAGGCTATAATAACAAGACAGCCTTTTGGCTCTTGAGAGGTGTAAATAAATAGATAAAAGATAGATGATGGAGGACTCGGCTGGCATTTGCAGCTCTCTCTCTCTTGATTTCTCTTTAAATCAAATATGAGTCAAGTAACCTTTTGCAAAGTCTGTGATGGAGTTTGGAAATTCTGACCTTGGGATAGATGTACATTTGGTGTTCCTACATGGAAAGTAGGTTTCTTTTCCCTCCCCCAATACAGCAGCCTTCTCCAAGCTGGCCCCATCCAGGTATGTTGGACTATAACCCCTAGCACCTGCAGCCATTGCAGAATTGAGTAGAAAGTAAGGCCATTACCAGATTGTATCACTTCAAGGTGCAGGCTTGGAAGTGGCATGCTTAAAGGCACCACTGCATGTTGGAGATGGCTTTTCCTGGTGTGGTACTCATCCTAGTTTTCTCCTTAAAATTGAACCTCCAGTTTCAAATGGAGAGCACCTTGTCATGGCTATTGATGGCTTCTGTCTGGCTATTTCTTCCCCTGCTTGTGAGCTTTCAGAGCAACAGCCAGTAGTAACTCTGAAGGAGCTGGAGAGATCCATGGCTGAGATGGAAGAAAGCACCCATGGGACAACAATCATCCTGACACTCTGCAGAGCTGGGCTTTCTGAGTGAGCAGCAAGAAGAAAGCAAACCCATATTGGAGCTGGGGTGGAGCTTGCAAAGAGGCATGTGGGAGACACAGCAAACATGTGAAAAGGGTTCTCTGGTTGTGCGGAGACCGAAATGGAACTATCTGGCCTTGCTACAAAACACGATGAGCGGCAGAATGCCAGCAGTGCTCATTGCCCTGAGAACACCATCCCCAGGGTGAAGCATGGTAGTGGTAGCTTCCTCTTGCAGGAATTATCTTTTCAGCAGGGACTAGGAAGCTGTTCAGGACTGAGGGGAAGAGGGAGCAAAATACAGGCAGTTTTAAGGGGAAATCTGTTTCAGTGTGCCAGGGACCTGAGCCTAGGGTGAAGGGCTGTCTTCGAGTAGGACAGTAATACTAAATACCTATCCAGAGAAAAACTGGAGTGGCTTAAAAGCAAGAACCTGGATGTCCTAGAATGGTCCAGTGAAAACCCAGACCCCGCTCTGATCGGGAATCTGTGGCAAGACTTGAAAGCTGCTGTTCATCAGCAGCCCCCATCCATCATGACAGAGACAGAGCAATTTTGCCAAGAAGAATGGGCTAACATTGCAGCATCCAGATGTGCAAAGTCAATAGAGACTAACCCAAGAAGTCTCACAGCTGTCATTGCTGCCTAAGGTGCTTCTTCCAAAAATTAATCCAGCAGGGTAAATACTTACGCCATCAATGCCAGGTTTATTTTTGTTTACTTAACTTTTTTGCCACAATAAAAAAAGATTTTCACCTTCACAATGTTGAGTGTCAACGTGAACCTCAAGTGGTAACAATGCCAATTACATCCATTTCAAAATGTGGAAAAGTGAAAGGGTATATACGAATACTTCTGCAAGCCACTGTTCTTGTTACCAACCAGCTAGGCTGCTGCTGTTGCTTTTTTTTTTTTTTTTTACATAAGCATTTGGCTCCTGTTTTGTTGGTTTGAAGGGTGGTTGTTTTTTGAGGCAGATGACTATTAATATTCTCTGATGCAAAAGTATGATTTCATGGTTTATTGTTGGCACATGTTTCTAAGCTGCTCTGTGCTCTTTTTGGATAATGGGTGGATGATAAGAATCATACAAGTGCATGCTTAGGGAAAACAAGGCCTATAATACCCAGTATGCCCCAGCCAACCATTGGATTGCACCTTAAATGCACATTAGCACTAAAAATTCATAATGAGATAGTGTTTTGCATGCTTTGCAAGGCATTAGAAAGGTTGGAAATAAAAGCAATCATTAATGTCTTCCTTTTTTGCAGGTCATGCAGGTGTGTGTTTCTGGTGGTTTAGCACATCCTTTATTGATGATCTTTGTGCTTTGTGCTTCAGAGTCTCCTAAGCAAAACAGCTTTCCCTTCACCTGTGCGCAAATTCCCCTCCAAAGGGATGAGAAACTTGAGATTCACTTCTTGCACTGACCCTGAGGAGACATCTTTGGTTAACATTAACCCATTCACACCCGAGTCATATCGACAGATGGTTTTCCATCCCAATGACAAGAGGAAAGCCAAAGGGAAGATGTGAGTGTTGTCTTACTAAAATATCTTATTACAGGGGTTGATAAGGCAGCTCAGAATCTGCTGGTATATCTCTGCATGATGATATTCTCCTCCCCCTCTTCTTCCTCGTCCATAGATTTATGTATCACTTACTGTATTTAGAAAATATTCTAATTGGTTGCAGTAGATTAGCAAGAATGTATGGCCTGTTGTTGCCTAACGACAGCAAAAGTTAAAAAGCTTTCCCCCTAAATTAGGTTGCTGAAAAATATGCTTCAAGGAAGAAGTAGGAGCAGTCTTGTGTAGAAGCAGTGAGATTGGTTTTGTTACTCATACTGAGCCAATATTTTGCATCCTGTCCAAGGCTACTGAACCTCTGGGGTTTCGGTAGAGGTTTCACTGCAGTGACTACTCTGACTGGGTTCATTCAATACAAACCAGACTGAAGGCCTAAGCATGGATTCAGCATTGGTTGTCACTGAACGGTGGGTTGCTGTTGAAACATGGGCTATTGTGTTGTCTGAACCCATGTACAGTAACAAACCACAGCAGTTGACAAGCTAACAACAAAGGATTCTTCAGGGATAGTAAGTCATGGCTTATTAGCATAGCTGGGTTCAGACAATACCAGTTATCATGTTGTTTGAACCCAGTCTCTTTATATTTCTTATGAAGCCTTGGAGCATCCTCCAAAGCAGGAGGAACCCTATGTCACAGTTAGGACCGCGAGGGTATGGAATGGACTTCCACAGGAGGTCATTGAGGCCCCATCGGTGAGGGTGTTCAAAGATAGGCTGGACATGCACATGGTGGGCATGTCGTGAGCAGAGCCGGCTGGAGCCGGAGGTCAGACTAGATGGCCCAGGAGACCCCTTCTGACCCGCTCTGTTTCTATGTATTCCTCTGTATTAAATAACAGGAAGAGCATCCCACCCTTTACTGTTGCTATTAGATCACATTACATTTATATGCCACCTTTTTTCCTCTTGTGAGGAACCCAAAGCAGCTTGCAGACTTCCATTTTATCATCACAACAACAACCCTGTGAGAGAGGGATCTGAGAATTAGTGAGTGGCTCAAAGTCACCCATGAGTTTCATGGCCAAGTGGTCTCCTAGGCCTCTGGTCCAACACCCTTATCTCCACACTGGCTCTCTAAAACCTGTGATTAGCTGGTAGAACATTGTAGGAGGTGAGTATAATGGTTTACATACTCAGTGGTAAGTTTTAGAACATTGTCAATGAGTAATGGCACATCGAATCTGCTGATCTTCCATGGGAAAGCAGGTTTTGCCATTGCGGATCCTGCTGGCTCACACTGTTGATAAGAGATCAACATTGCACCAGTGCATGAGCTGAAGCATGGATGGCCAGCTGAGCAGCTTGCTTTTTCTCTTTCCCCAGTTTTTCCTGCATCTGCAGGATGGAAAAGGTGATGCTTGAACTGAAGCATGTGGATCTGCTGGAGTTGGCTGAGTGCTTCCTTCAAGGCTTAGGAGTCTTGGATATCACAATTCTGGGATCCAATTCCAGAAGCTTAAATTGTCATATTACAACTTCCCGTGTCTCCAGATATCAGGGGATTGTGCATTAATGTAAAATCTGCATTGATCTGAACTAGACTACGAACCTCTCAATCTGCAGGCTGTAGCCTCCATGATTTCAAGAAGGAAATTTCTTGCAGTCTCTGTATGCTTATAGCAGAAATGCCTGTATAAATACTTTATCAAGCCTGAATAGTTCCTGAGGCTGGTGCTTAAATATTTAAATAGTGAAAAAGAAAGCTTGTGTCTCTTATGTTTGCACTAGGCTCTGTCTTCATATAATTAAACTTATCATTTTAGGGATGATCCTAGCCAAAAAGGGGGTCCTGTGGAGCAGGGGTTGCCAGCCAAGGTGAGTAGCTGATGTTGGCTTTGGTGTAGCAGTGCCATTATGTTCAGCAGCTTTCTGTTTGAAGAGAAGAAAGAGTGCACTAATCTGGAATGTTAGATAAAAGAAGTATTAGCAGAACACATGCTGTAATCTTGACAATTTCAAAGGAAACCTGTAATAAAGTGTGTAGGAAGGAGAGAAAAAGAGAACAAAGTTACAGTGCAGTAGTTATTACAATGCTAAACAACAGGCTCCAATCCTAATACATGGTTAAAAGCAAAAATATATAAATGAAGAGAGCATTCAAAACATTAGGAGAGCAGTCCCAATTTATGAGGAATGTTTTTAATATTGTCACTTCAGTCCTTCCCTGTAATCTAACCCCAATCTTCCGTGAATTGCACTTTCCCTGAATTGAACTAAATGTGTCATAATTTTCTCCAGCTCTTCAGCTACTTTTCGAAGTGAAAAAGGAAAAAAACACCTTTCCCATATCTTTGAATATTCTTTATTTTGGGTTACTATAATCAAGTGATAGATCAGTTCTGAAAACATTAAGAGTCAGTGCTACATAATCAACGATGTAGACTCTATATCGGTCCTTTTTGGTCCTGGAGAAGTAAAGCCTTGGTTTGTAACAGAGTATGTTGAGGACTGAAATACTGAGCAATGACTGTGTGTATAGGACCATTCATTGCCAAAGGTAGTCCTAGGGTAGCCTGCATGACATTTTAAAAGCATTATAGTGAGAGCCAGTGTGGGGTAGTGGTTAAGAGTATAGGACTGGAATTCAGGCAGTTTGCGTTCTAGTCCCTACTCAGCCATGGAGCCAACTGGTGACTTTGGCCCTGTCACTGACTCTTAGACTGGGTTGTTGTTTGGAGGATAACATTGGGAGGAAGAGGAGAACTATGTAAGCCACCTTGAGTTCCTTGAAAGGAAAAAGGCAGGATATAAATATAATAAATAAATAATAATTATACTGTTACTGTAAGCATTCAGCAGAGCCTGCTCACTCCTAGGCATGCTTATTCAGAAGTCCTTGTCTGATTTGCAGGTGTGCCTATGTACCTAAAACAGCATAAAAAGATAAAAGGTAAAGGTTTCCCCATGACATTAAAGTCCAGTCATGTCTGACTCTTGGGGGTGGTGCTCATCTCCGTTTCCTAGCCGAGGGAGCCAGCATTTGTCCACAGACAGTCTCCGTGGCCATGTGGCCGGCATGACTAAACACTGAAGTGCATGGAATGCTGTTACCTGCCCACCAAAGTGGTACCTTTTTATCTACTTGCATTTGCATGATTTCGAACTGCAAGGAGCTGGGACGGAGCAATGGGAACTCACCCTGTTGTGCAGATTCGAACTGGTAGCCTTTTGATCAACCAGCCCAGCAGCTCAGCAGTTTAACCCACTGTGCCATTGCATCCCTTTAGCAGAGTAAATCCCATTGAAATGTGCAGCAATATATCCAGTACAGTGAATAAATGTCTGATACCGATCCACATCCTCACTCAGCCATAAAACTCACATTGGTTGAATTGTTTCATATCAACATATTACTTTAGTTCAAAGGTTTTCACATAGTTTTTTGGCTAGCGAATTCTAATACAAATTCAAATGATTTCCACATCCATGACTAATGCATGAACCAGGATTTAGTGATTCAGTGACTTTCACACTTCATAAATGTTCATAAATAGATGATTCTCTGCTAAAAAAGCAAATAAAAATGCATTTAGAGATGTGTACTTTGCAAAATTACTTTCAGACACGTGTATTTAAAATTCAAATATTCATGAAGATTCTATGTTTAATTTGTTTTTATATGTTATCATTACATTTATATCCCATCTTCTTTTCCTCATGCATGGAAGCCAAGTTCTCTTACTTGGTTGGCATTCTCTCCATTTCATCCTCACTACAACCCTGTGAGGTAGGCTAAGTTGCGAGTCAGTGACTAGCTCAAAGTCATCCAATGAACTTGGTGACTGAATGGGGGCTTCAAACCAGATCTTCTGAGTCCCAGTCCAAAAGTCTAACTGCTATACTATTGGCTGTCCAGGAGAGGATGGGCTTACGAGTGAGCCCGTGTTGAAATAACTGTTGGGTGGAAATAGACTTTTATCCATCCCTATGCAAGCAGTGCATCCTCAGAGCTCTTGTGGGAACCAGACAGGAGATACTACGCAGTTCTTGTGTCTTTTTTAATTTTCTATGGTAAGAAAAGGATGGAAGAAGCAATGGGAAAAACAAAGACAGCTTACAAGTGGAAGATGTTATTCTTGCCTTGTAAAATTCTGTGAAGGAGGCAGGAAGTTGGTGTGATAAAAGAGCAAACTGGAAGCATTTGGAGTAGCTTCTCCTGGAATCTGAACCACTTTTGAATACCAACGTGTGTGTTTTGTTCTTTGCTGTGTAAACCAAAGTGTGCAAATGGAAAGCTGTGACATACTGAAGAGAAAGGAGCTAGCTAGTAAGTTGGAAAGGAAAATATTCTGCTAGAAGTCTTCTCCCTGTGTGTAGCTTTCTATGTGTAGGGTGTGTATGTGCGTGGGGGGGTATTTGGCTTTCTGTAATCCATCGGTATTTGGAATGGAGGGGTAGGAATTCCATTTCCCCCGTCCCTGGCATTCCGCAATGATATAATCCTAGATGAGGCCTGACAATTTCTCATGCTGCTTTTGCAAGTGCAGATCAGAGTCATTTTTTATCCTTATTGCAGTTGACTGTGTTAATTACCCAGAGAGAGATTAAGGATTTTTTTTTAAACCCCTAATTGAAAAGCTAATGAAAACAAGGCTTCGGTAGAGGGTGTGCATGGTGGGAGAGAAAGTGCTGAACCTTACTCAGGATTAGATTAATATCTCCTGCTGTCCGTCCTTCCTGTCCTGGTGCACAAATCTCTCCTCTGCTTCTTCGCCCTTGAGTCACTTCGCACAAGCGAGTATGAGATGGATTTTTTGCTTTCCAGTAAATATTTTTAAGCGATAAAGCACCATCGCCCTCTTCTGGAGAGAAACCAGGCTGAGTCTACAGTGTGGCTTGTCTCTGGTGATTTCTCTCCCCAGCCTCCCTCTGGGAAAAAGCCAAGAGTGTCTTTTGTAACTTTAAGCCAAAAGTGCAGAACCTCTTTCAGAGAAGCTCTGGGAGATTAGGTATAGGCTGGGGCCAGTGGTGAGTCTGCCACAGTCGAAAGAGGCAGGGCCAAGAATGCCCAAATACCAGCATATTTCAGCATGAAGCTCCTTCTGCCAGCAATTTAGTCTTAGGCAGAGACAGTTTAACCTTACAGAATGTGAGAGGACAACACAAAACCTGGGATACCACAAGTGATTGGTGGCTGGGAGGAAGGAGTGGGATCAGGGAAGGTAAATTGGCCTTTTGGGGACTTCTGGGGAGCCAAATTTGACCCCAGCTCTGAGCTTCTGCTCCTCTACTTTAAACCCTGATGCCAAGTTTTCTTCCTTCTCAGCAAGCATTTAGCATGTCCCCCACCCCCCTGCTTAATTGGGAAAGCTTCACAATGGGGTGCATTGCCATTTGACTGAACTCATAAATGAAGCCACAGCTCTTTCAGAAGACATCTATGCTCCTCTTCTGTCTCTGGCATTTCCTATTCAAGGGTCTCTTCTTCCAGGGTTAGGAACAGAATTCTGCTTGAGATCCGGAAGTACAGTTGCCAATTAGGGTAGATCCACTACAGAAGGGTCAGCACTTTCTATCCTATCATTCAGCTGCCACACAGTTTAGTAAGACTATACTGAAATTTGTGCTATGCTCAACCCAGAAACTCTGGAATTCACCTCCGCAGGATGCTGTAACGGCCTCCAATTTGGATGGCTTTAAAGGGGAATTGAACAAATTCCTGCAGGAAGGGGGTTCTTGTCTGGATGCTGTATATTACACAAGTAGCAGAGGTAGGCTATCTGGGTACATCAGTTCCTGGGAAACATGGGCAGGGTGGAAAATGGGGGAAGGATGGAAGATCCCCAAATCACTGTATGCAATCAAGCTCTTGTACTTCCCTAAATTAGTCCTTTGGATTGAGGCCTTTGTTAAACAATTTTCAGAAGGTGGTAATTCTATAGATTTTCAAATAGAAAAATAATAGGAAACTCTCTGAGCAAAGAGTGATTTTGGACTTGCCTGCATATATTTATGAAAACAATCATAAATCTGAAAGAAGGTGTTCTCGAGTTCTGCTCCAGGACTCATGTATGATCTCCTTAACTTACGTGGGTCTGTCTTTGCCCTCCTCAGAGATTTGTCTTACGTGAGAGCAACATGGTGTCCCGCTACCAGAAGGAGTTCCTGGAGCTGGAGAAAATTGGTGTGGGGGAATTTGGTTCTGTGTACAAATGCATCAAAAGGTTGGATGGGTGTGTTTATGCCATCAAGCGCTCAAAGAGACCCCTGGCTGGATCTGCGGATGAGTAAGTGAACAGTGCAAAGCAAAACCAGAAAACAACTGCCCTTCACTTAGTAGACACACACATACGTACCATGAGGGATTATGACTGTGGGTTTTATTCGCCGCCCCCACCCCATAAGTGAAGATTTGCATGGGATACAAGGCTTCAGCTCACACACGGCCTTCCCATTCTCCGATTGCCTCTGCACATGCACCAAACCTGACCCAAATTTCTCCAGTTTTCCAGAGCAAATTTGAGGTGGGAATACAGAGCAGAATAGGCAATCCATTCTGCCAACCAAACTAGTCTTCCTAAGAGAGCTTTGAAGGCAACATTTGCTTCTGAATGCACCAAACTATATTACACAGCCTTTAGTCATCTGTAATAATAAATAACAGTGTCTGTTTTTTGACATTACCATTTTCAGGAGCTGGTGAAACAGTACTAATCTACACACTGGCTAAAGAGCACATTAGATTCTAATGTGCTCTCAGGCCAGTGTAGATTAGACTATCACCATTATTTTTTCAAACTGTTATCTCAACCCAGCAAGCATCCCCCTACTTATCCTTCCAAGATGGCCTCTCTTTAGTCTGTGCCAAATATTGTAAATCTTGCCTTGACATGAGACATTTGGCTTTGCAGTATTTCTATGCTTTTTCCACTAGGACAAGCAGGTAGAAGCTGTAGGGCTGCAGCACTTTCCTGGGCTCTGCTTGCTTCAGAAGGAAGACACTGGAGGCTGATCTCACTTGCAAATATATGGCAATAGGCTCAGATATTACAAGCTGAGCATCTAATAGAGACACACATGGCGCTCCCTGGAGGAACCCTGTGCCTCAAGCAGTAGGCACCGCACAGCTCTTCCATCTCTCTTCCAAAAGGGATTTTCCGCAGTAAGGAAAAAGTGGATGAAGCTTTGGGAGAGCAGTAAGTGGGAAGAGGTGTTCCCTGGAAACCTGCCCTTGCAATTCTGTGAATAAGATGTGGCGATGGTGCATTAGAAACCTTGTCTAGAATGAACCACAGCTTAAAGTAGGGGGTGCAGAACCATGGGCCTGGGGTCCATTATGCCCCAGCCAGCATCCCAGTCCAGCTCTCCGAAGTTCCTGAGACAATCTCTCTGGCTTTTTTTGGCTGCCCCCCTTGGTGACTTCCTAGGTGTTGTGAAGTTTTTCCCCAAAAGGTCTAAATGCCTCTCCCAAGGCACAGTTACCGGCAGTAAGAGATTTAAGCTGAAACAGGCTTGTACATTTTGCCCAGCTTCTTCTGCCTTCAGCACTGAAATATGGTCCTTGAGAGTGCTTCTGAAATGGGATTTGGCAGGAAAGAAGCTGAGAGAGGGTCAGCCCTCTTGGTGTAAACCCTTGGACAGACAAGGTCCGCTCTCATCAGAACTCTGGAGACAGAAAGCTCCCCAAATGGCTGTTAGCATATGGCGCCACCCTTGGCTCTCTTTCTCTTAGACCTGAAAAGCTGCGATCAATGAACTCTCTTTATACCCAGTGCCAAGACTAAACCATTCCTAAGTCAGAGCGGGAGGTGTTCTGGGTCTGAGCAGTGGAATGGGGTTTTAAATGTGGGTTGTATTTCCAAAAGAGAGCCTACAAACATCTCAAGTAACCAAGATCACATTCTTCTGAAGAGAAATGTTAATTTGTTAAGCAAATTCTGAATGACCTCCCCCCCCCCCCCGCCCGAGCAGTATGGCACCTTCCAGATGTTTTCTAGCCATTTAGTGAGCACTCTCATGAACAAAAAGTCTGCCTGCACATACTACTGTCTCCACTTACCCTCTCCTGTCCAGTTCCCAATCTGACAATGATATTGGAGTTTTAATTATGGGTCCCTCTTTTCATCCCCTGCCCCCCTCTCTCTCTCCAGGCAAATGGCTTTGAGAGAGGTCTACGCCCATGCAGTGCTTGGCCATCATCCACATGTTGTGCGCTATTATTCTGCTTGGGCTGAAGATGATCACATGATTATTCAGAACGAGCACTGCAATGGTAAGGATGCTGGGCCCATGGGGGTCTCCGTTGCCCCACTCCAAAGTGACTGAACTTTGAAATCCATGGAAGCTTTGGACAACCACATGTTGGGGATTACATAAGTGGAGCCAGCTGGAGCTGGGGGGTCAGACTAGATGGCCTGGGAGGCCCCTTCTGACTTTCTTTTGTTTCTATGTTTTGTGTTTGTGAATTCCTTCATGGGGTCTCTGTCATGGCACCCATGAGCACCAGTGTGCCTGCACAGACCTCGCTTGGCATTTGCCAGGTTCCCTCTTTTCTTGATCTTTTTTGACTTCTTAAGATGCCTTTTAAACCCATTGTAAGAGCTCCTGGGGGGGGGGTGGGTCTGGGAACAGATGGACTTGGTCAAAAGAGACTTTGCTCTCTCTGGATGTACCTTCATAAACATTTGGTTCTCTGCAGGTGGAAGCCTTCAAGATGTGCTTTTAGAAAATGTGAAGACAGCAGACTATTTCAAAGAACCTGAGCTGAAAGAGATCTTACTGCAAGTCTCCATGGGGCTGAAATATATTCACGCTTCTGGCCTGGTTCACCTGGATATCAAACCCAGTAAGCCTTCGCTGGGGCCACACCTGAAAGGGGAGGGGCCGCAGCTCCGTAGCAGAGCACCTGCTCTTATGTAGAATGTCCTGGATTCTATCCATGAGATCCCCTGGTAGGGCTGCCAAGACGCCTGTCTGAAATCCTGGAAAGCTACTGCTAAATGGACTCGGACTTCATGAAGGCACCTTCCTATGTTCTGATGCTCCTTCAGTGACAAATATTTGTGCATCTACTGCATTGCCATCATGGAGGACATCAAGCAGCATGTTCTTGGTGGATCTGCATGGGCCTGTGGCCCAGATGGAATGGAGACGAGCCTTCAGTGTGGCAGCTCCATTCCTGTGGCATGTCTTCTCCTTGGAGCTCAGGCGGGCACCATAATTGTGTTATTTCCAGTGCCTGCTGAAAGCATTTATTTCAAAAGCCTTCCTTGCTTGACCAGACACTTTTTAACTGATACTCTTTTTACTGATAGGTTATGTTATTCTTCTTAACTTGGTCATCTCTCATTGTGTACCACTCTGGAATCTGTGCAGATGAGGAGTATAACTATAAATATAGAGTTTAGAGAAAGTGTGAGCATACTGAAGCCCTGGGAGGTCTCATTCCTGTATTGATTTAGGAATTGCAGCAATGCCAATACAGAGTTATGAAAGGTTTCTGGAAACTCTCCATGGTTGCGGCATCAATAAGTCATGGAACTTAATTAGAACTGCAGGATTATTGTTTCTGAATAGCCAGGAAGCATGGTGTTTGCTTTGTATTTACTTCTTTCATGATCAGTTGGGGTACTTCCACAACACAGAGAAAGCCAGAACAGGCCCTGCAAAGAAAGGCTGAAGAAACAAACTTTAGCCTGGAGAAAATAAAATAAAAGTGGGGGCATTATAGTAATCTTCTGATAGCTATACTTCTCTGCTGCCCTAAGAGGCAGGATCAGCCCTAAAAGAGGTACACAGGAGGATAGATTTGGGGTAAGCACAAGGAACAACTTCTTGATGGTAGAAATAGTTCAGTAATAGGACCAGCCAACCCTTGTTGGAACTCTTCAGTTAGGAGCTGGAAGTGCTTTTGTTGGCAACGTTCTACCTCTAGATCTCCTGTCTTCATGAGGGAGTTGAGCTAGATTGCCTACAAAGCTGTCTCCAGTTCCGTGTTTCCATGAAACCTGATAATGTGGCTGATAATATCCTGATTGATAAACTCTGAAAATGGGACCTCTTGTGATTCACTTATGAGCTCTAGCAGAAAGCAAATTGGCTGTTGCATATCGAGTAGGAACTTCCATAGTCCTTTATACTCTTCCACAGGATGGAATCTCCAGGGACAGTGAGGAGTGTTAGGATCATGAATGGGGAACCTCAGGTCCCAGTACCAAGTCTGGCTGTCGGGGGGTCCCAGTCTGACCTTCTGGGGTTCCCAAGACAGCCCCTTCCCTTTCCCCTTTGGCCTTGCCCACCATTAGAAAGTGGCCTCCAAGATCTTCTCCAAAATTGTTTTTGACCCTGAGGCTTGGAAGCATTTTTCCTCCCCAGCATAGATAGAAATTTGTGGGATGCAAGCCCTGTGGACTGTTGGTATAGTTTCCTTGCATGGATAATGCAAGCTTCAGTGTTTTATTTCTTCTCGATTGCAGGCAATATTTTCATATGTCACAAACTGATGGGGCCTGCTGGTCATGAGGAAAGTGACAGTGAAGATGATGGGTTTGCTTCTTCTAATGTGGTATATAAAATTGGTGAGTAGTTTACATGTTTCTTTGTCTCTGGACAGCTTTGTGCGACTTGCTTTTCAGGTTGTGCTTTCCAAATAGCTCATATAATATACATACCACTCTCTCTTCCTGGCTAGGAACTTAGTGCCCCAGGACTCTGTACATGGGACCTACTGAACAGCTGGTCATGATAACTGGAATAGGTGCTGAAATGTAGTGGTTCTGGATTCAGTACAGAGAGATTCAGTGAGAATCATTGCATGTGTGCATAATGGGTGTGGTGTGTATGTCAAGAGAATTTTTTCAGACATGGAGCACATCACACAAGGAAATCCATGTGTGGAATCCGGATTACAAACATTGCCACTGTTCGATCCAGGTTAGAGTTCATAATGATGCAAATGTGGAGGAAAGAAACTGGATCCGAGTATTATTCAGCCTTTAATACTCCATTGTACCCCTACAACATGGGCTCTGCAAAGTCCAGCAGCACACTCATTGATACTGAGTACAAAATCGTCCATTGTGATAGATCTGAGACTGGTTTTAAACAAGACACTACTCAAACGCTCGTTCTGTGGGTCATCCCATTGTCTAAACCTACCCGTGCTAACAAACCATGACTTGTTAGCCACAAATAGCCCATGAAGAGATTGGTTGTTCACTGTGGTTTGTTTTCTTGACTGGGTTCAGAGCACACAATAACCCATGGCTCAGCAAGAACATACATTCTGCCCTTGAGTGTGGGTTACCATATTGTCTGAACTCGGTCATAGATGTGAGTTAGCACACTGGAAAGCCAGGTCAAAGGTCAGCTACCGTGCTGGCTGAAAAGTCAGTTGCCGCTTCCAGCATATGCCAGTCCTGGTGGTCTATAAGAAACGAAGTGGTGACTGATGTGGCTATTCCCCTACAATCCACATGTGATTCGGAGCAATTGCTGCCATTGGGTTGTCTTGCTTTGCATTGTTCCAGCTTTGAGATGAAATGGGCCATGGAGTATTTGTGATTTCAGCCCTACGTTCCAGGAATCACTGGGGTTCTTTGGAAGCTTCTGTAAGGAGAGAAGCCTAGCTCAGTGGAAGAGAGTCAGTCCCTGCTACCTCTTCTTGGAAGGCCCAGATAGTTGATGGGGAAGGGCTTTGCCTGAGATCCTGAAGAAATGCTGCCAGGCAGAGCAGACTGCACTGGGCTAGAGGGGCAATGGGCTGGCCTGTTATACAGCAATGGTTCCCTTGGCTGGCGGCAGTTCTTCACTGAGTGCCATAGTGGCAGGTTTGCTGGACTGCTGCTTATCCTCCTGTGTAATGCACAGTAGCAGGAAGTGGTTGCTGATCATTAAGGGGTCAGCTGTAAAGAGCAGGTACCTGCTGGATGATGAGCTTTGATTTTGGAGCCTCCATTTTTCCTAAGACCTGTTGGCAAAAGTCAGGCAGTGTAGAATGAACACAAGAAGCTTTTGCAGTCTCTCCATCCTCCAGCTGGTACATTTGGTCCAGTTGGTACACCCACTTGCTCCGCAGAGGGTGGGGATGGGCAATGGGAGGGGAGAGGCTTGTAGATCCAGGTCTTCTCCCCTCCCAGTCTAGTCCTCCTTCCTCTTCCAAGGGTGGAGCCACTGGGGACCTTCTCCCCTCCCCAAGGTTGTAGCCTATAACTTGGGGAGAATCCCCAACATCCTATAATGCCCCCTCTAGAGGCCATAGGCTTGTCCTCTGAGAGTTGTCCTCTGTTCACACAGAGCAACTCTTGGGCCCATGAAACTTGACCAGATGTTGCAGCCATGAATGCTTCCCAGGAGCTTTCAGTGTCAAGTGATCCCATAGGAGATTTGCTGGGTTCTTCAGTGGACAAGGCTGAAATGTTAAAAGGTCTCCACAAAGGCAGAAGGCATTGAAAATGACAGGCGCATTCAAAGCCTCCGGTATCTCACACGTTTCTCTTGATCAGGGGACCTTGGGCATGTGACGTCCATTACCAACCCCCAAGTGGAGGAAGGAGATTGCTGTTTCTTGGCAAAGGAAGTCTTGCAAGAGGTAAAATGGTGGCTTTCTTGAGGATGTACATGGGGAATTCTAGCAGACAAAGTACCCCATTCATGTTCAAAATGCCTTTTTGTTGTGTTCACATTTCGCTACTTTACACTACAGTTTTGATTTTATGTAAGTCCTACTGATGCTGCTATTATTATTAGCCTCAATAGCATGAGACTGCCACATACATCGTGCTTAGAATTGCAGTCTGGGGAATCCCACACAAAATTTGCAATGCCTACTTGCTAACATGTGGCAATTAACACCTGGCCACCAATTGATGAAAGGTTCATTGAAGGGACTAATTGGACCTATTAAGGATATGAATGAAGGACCTATTAAGCATATGCCAAAACTAGAGCAGATGTTGGAAACCTATTGTATTCCAGATGTAATTGAATTCTAATTCCCATAAACCCTAGCCATTGGTATGATGCCTAATAGAGATTGTAGTCCAACATGCGGTGGACTGCAGGTTCCCAACCCAGAGGCAGAACAAACATTATTGAGGGTGCTTGCATATGTCTGTAGAACAGGTGGGCAATTGGTAGCCCAAAACACCCGATGGGCCACAACTGCCAACTACAAGTTGCCCACACTTGCCGTAGAAGTTCAGACTGGGGCCGTGGTCCAGCATAGGCAAGCCCTTTACTGCTTTTGGTTTAATGCTGCATATCAGTTGTTTGAAAATTTAGTAACAAGTAATGGCCTGTGTTTCAAGAAAATAGAACACTCAAAACCATCCTCTTTCTGCTCTTTAACATCAAGAGTACATCTTGCACTCTACCCCTTTATTGCCAGGACTGTTTTAACAAGGTTTTCAACTTTGGGTCAGAGATATGAAGTAGTATGAGTGTTTTAAATGAACTTGAATTTAATTGGATAGAGGGATTCAGAAATAAATTGGGAAATCTGCATATTCTACGCTTGGATTTTAAATTACGAAAGCTTTCAAACTCAGTTGAAGCATTGTCAGTTCTAGAATATGTCCCTTTCTTATATGATAAGAGCTTCCTAAATAATGTTCCCAACTCTCTGGATATGTTGGACTACAGCTCCCATAATTCCCAGCCAGCATGTGTCAGACTGAAATTGGGTTTATGGTCTCACCACTTCAAGATCTCTAGTGCTCTTCTTTCCCTCCTTAGCAATACTGCTATCTGCCCAAGGCAGACATCTTTGCGCTTGCACTGACAATCGCTGTAGCGGCAGGCTGTGGACCACTTCCTGCCAACGATACCATGTGGCATCACATCCGCCAAGGCAACCTTCCACACATCCCGCAGCCGCTGTCACGTGGCTTTGCAGAACTGCTGGAGGTGAGCATCCTTGGGGAACTAGCAAGGAGCACTGGCAGTTCAGCACATCTGTCCTCTACAATCTTTCGCTTTCTCCTTACCTCAGTTAATGATTCATCCTGATCCAGTGAGAAGGCCATCGGCTGCTGCATTAACCAAACATTCTGTTCTCCGACCTTCTCTTGGGAAAGCTGCCCAACTTCAAAGACAGCTCAATGTGGAGAGGTTCAAAACTGCTATGCTAGAAAGGTACCGTTGTTCACTCTTCAAAACCAAAAGGTTTGCAATGAACCGAGGCTTCAGGTTACTTGGTTTGGAAGCGAACTCCACTCTTGCAGGATAATTTACTCTAGATGCTACTCAGGCGAATGACTAGACCCCTCTTCTCTCTCAAACATCCTGACTTCTTACCCCATCATAGATTTCCAAGGTGATGATTTTCCATGAGGATCTGATATGGCTGATAAAAGGGAAATGCTTTTCTTCTTAAACAGACATTACATGGACTGAAACTCAAAAGTTGTGATAGCTTAAAGTGAGGGGTCTGTAACTATTCATGCCACATTGGAGAGGACAAGGTAAAACAGAGGACTTTTGGACTCAGTGGGCATATTAGGAATTTTGAAAGAGTGTTATGGATGTGCTCATAAAATGGCTGCCATGGATTGAAAGCTTTCCTCTTCAAAAAGTGACTGCCATGGTAGGGTGCCTCATCACAGAAGACTAATTTCTTAGAAGGAAAACTGGTAAAACAAAAAGAGAATTAATGTCCCCCCAGACCTGAATACAAGGCAAAGGAGGAATGAATAAAAATGGAAAGGGATGGGGAGCCTCTAGAAAGAGAGAGGAGATTGCCATTCTGTGTTCATCCTTTTTTCCTTCCTTTTCCTCTTTGCACTCAGGAGCCATAGCTGTGTGAAGACAATAAAATGTAGGGGTCATAAAGCAAGAGGGCCTTGTATGCCTTTCTGCATAGCAAACCAACATACAGGTTGGGGAGGGGCTGTGGTCCTGTACCTCTCAACCTCATATACTTTATCTTTTCCCATCCAAGGCAGGCCTGCAATTAGCATATACATCATACTTTTAGCTACTAGCAGAATCTGGCAACTCCACATTTTGCAGGCACTCACTAGTGAGCTGCTTTTGGAAAGGATATGAAGGGTCCAGCACTTCTTCCATTTCCTTGCTGTATCCATTCCCCTGAGGTTGAATGTGCTTTGCCATCAACATCGTCCATCTTAGGGAAATGCTCTGTAATTCAACGGATCTTTTTGTTAATCACATCTCTACTCTTTCTTAGGGAGCTAAGAGCAGCCCGTCTTGCCCAAACCTTCAAAAAGGACCTGTCTTTGGAATGTGCCCAGTTTCGACCATCTGGATTCAGTGCAAAGCATCAGAACAGCAAGAAACGTTTGGTGGGAGGCAAAAATGCCCGGTCGTTTAGCTTCACATCTGGTGGCTATTGAGAACCAGGCTGCTCAAGCTTTGGAAGGCATATCTCAGAGTGAAGAGTGACCATGCAGGATAAGAGATCATAACTGCTTCATTTTTGCCATCATGACTACAATTAGCATGGTGCAAAATCTCAGTGGGAGATGGTTGCTGGCCATCATATCTCTTGTTAGACCATGCTGTCCTTCTTGTCCTCTAGGTTGGCCACTGAAACCTGGCATCTATAGTTAGAGGGATGCTGTGGCAGCAATCTTAAATAGACTAATTTTTCCAGCCAGGGTTGGACAACTTCTGGCCATCAAATGTTTTGGCCTCTTCCATCATCTCCCAGTGTTGGTTATGCTGACTAGGCCTGATAAGGATTGTGCTTCTCCAGATTTTTTTGGTTGCCCGCAGCTGCTTTAAACTGAGAAGTCCCCTGGATTCTCAGGGGTCCTTATAACTTTATTGCCTTCCTCCAGGTTTTTATCGGCCTGTTTTAAGGACCTCTGTGTTTACCGTTGAAAAAAGAAAAGTTGGCTCCATACTGAGTGTTTTAAAGGAATATCTCTTAGGCAGCAGATGGCTTGTTCTTCTGGAAGGAAAGGAAGGGCCATATGAGGCTATGCCACTACTCTAAACTTCAGGTCCTGCCTAAAGAGCCTGAGAAAATAACAACATATATTTAATATTACCATCCTAGCAGATGGGATGCTTCTGAGTTGCCTTGTTGTCCATAGGTGATTAGAAAAACAGAACCTGGTTTGGAAGCAGGTGCTCCATTTCCAAATGCAACAGCAGGCAAGAAATAGCCTGTCCTTGATGGCTGTGTCTTTTGAGCACCCGCTTTATCCTTAATATGGCAGTGAGTGGCCTACATACAGCCATGGAAAAGATCTGTCTTCTTGGAAAGGGGAGGGGTGGGTTTTTAAGTGCATTTAGAAGGGAGGAAGACATGCTTCTAGAAGCCCTTCATTTTCTGGGGACTACATTATGTAAAGTGTTATGTAATAAAAATAAAGTCAATCTTATGCCCCTGTCAAAGTGTTAACTGTGGATATTGTTTCATGAGCCAAATCCACTGCTCCATTTGATTAACCCAATCACACAGGCATGTCTGTTTGAGCAGTGTCTTCAGGGATCTTTCAACATTTCCTTTGTTGTGTATAAGTTCCCCAGTCTTACATGAATATTTTTTTTATTGCTAGCTGCTGGATAGCCCAAACATGTTTAGCTGTTGAAACTCTATAGATAGCTATTTATTTAAAAAGTGACACCTGTGCGAATAAAGCTTTTAACCTTGGTTATTTAAAAGTGTATGTGTGGGGGGATTTATTTGAGATCTTGTCAGGGAGGAATGACGAGGGCTTGAGCCATGTCCACGCATCTGTTGGGGCTGCTGCACAGGTGCATCTTTGCTTCTGGCATTGGACATTCATGTTCTCCAGAAAGTGTTGGGGCTGCATGATGGTACGCAGCAATTTGGAGAAGCACTTAATGATATGAAGTGCTACAGTCATAGTAGGTACCAGTAAATCTGGGTGCCTATGAGGACATCTTGTTAAAAAAACAAAACAGAACAGGTAACAAGATGTATTGCTACCTAATTAAAGGTAGCAATGCACACTCAAAAACCTGGAGCAGGTATTGATCTGTTGCCCGACTCTGACTACTGTTTGATGAAAACGATGAAGAGATCAAGGCCTTACTGGCTGAAAAGCACCGCCTTCACCGTGCTCATCAGAATGACCTGTTGTCAACAGCTAAGAGAAATGCCTTCAACAACGCTCGCAGGACTGTACAGAGCAAGCTTCGCAAGATGCAGGACTCCTGGTTGAGTGCCAAAGCAGATGAAATCCAGAAGTTTGCTGATAGAAACAATGCCAAACGGTTCTACGAAGCCCTCAGATCCTTGTACGGACCTCAGCCTTCAGGGAGCTCCCCTCTACTGGACTCAGATGGTGCAAATCTCATTACTGAGAAGACTCTGATTCTATAGCGTTGGGCTGAGCACTTCCAATCCGTACTGAACCTCCCATCCTCCATCAATAACGAGGCGATTGACAGAATGCCCCAAGCGGATATCAACCACAGCCTGGATGCCCCACCATCAAAGCCTGAAACCCTACAGGCCATCAGCCAGCTGTCCAGTGGCAAGGCCCCAGGATCTGACACGATCCCATCGGAAGTCTATAAGGAAGGTGGTGCAGTGCTTGTCGACAAACTCACTCAGTTGTTCCAGTCCTTCTGGAATGAAGGATCCATTCCTCAGGAACTGAAAGACGTGTCCATCATACACTTCTACAAGAGGAAAGGAAATCGACAAGTCTGATAATCATAGAGGAATATCACTGCTCTCCATCGCAGGCAAGATCCTTGCACGTGTGTTGCTGAATCGCCTGACTGACCACCTGGAACAGGGTCTACTATCCGAGACACAGTGCGGCTTCCGCAAAGAGCGTGGCACTGTGGACATGATCTTTGCAGCCCGACAGCTCCAAGAGAAGTGTCAAGAGCAGAATCGTGAACTGTACACCATCTTTGTGGGCCTCACCAAGGCTTTTGACACTGTGAGTCGTGAAGGTATGTGGCGCATCATGTCGAGGTTTGGGTGCCCTGACAGATTCATCCTGATGGTACGTCAGTTCCACGACGGCATGACAGCTCATGTTTTGGATGACGGAGAAGCCTCAGGGCCCTTCCCCATCACAAATGGCATCAAGCAAGGGTGCGTGCTGGCACCGACCCTGTTCAGCATAATGTTTTCAGCCATGCTGACAGATGCCTTTCAGAACAACTTGGGAGTCAGCCTGAAATACAGGACCGATGGGAAACTGTTCAACCTGCAAAGACTCCAGGCTGTCACCAAGATAAAGGAGACTGTGCTACGAGACCTCCTTTTTGCTGACGACTGTGCCCTAAATGCTGGATCAGAGCAGGAAATGCAAGCCAGCATGGACAAATTTGCAGTAGCATGCGACAACTTCAACCTCCTCATCAACACAGAGAAAACCAAAGTGATGCATCAGCCAGCTCCGAAAACCCAATACCGACTATCACAGTGAAGGGGCAAAAGCTGCAAGCAGTGGACCAATTTACATACCTTGGCAGCACTCTTTCCCACGCAGTGACAATTGACATCAAGGTCAACTGCAGAATCACCAAGGCAAGCTCTGCATTTGGCAGACTGCAGACCAAAGTGTGGGACCGCCGTGGAATAAGCCTTGCTACAAAGCTTAAAGTCTACCGAGCAGTAGTGCTAGCTACCCTGCTGTATGCCAGTGAGACTTGGACAGTATACAGGAGGCACACTAGGCAACTGAACCACTTCCACACGACTTGCAACTGCAGTCTTTTGAGGATCCGGTGGCAGGACAAGGTGCCAGACACAGAGGTCCTCACCAGAGCAGGCGTGCTGTCAGTTCCCACCCTGCTGATGAAAGCCCAGACACGTTGGGCAGGCCATGTTGCAAGGATGCCAGACTGCCGCATCCCCAAACAGCTCTTCTATGGTGAGCTGTCTCAAGGAAAACAATCACACGGGGGACAAAAGAAGCAATACAAAGACACGTTGAGAGCCTCTCTTAAGTCCCTGGTTATCGACACCACCTCCTGGGAGACCCTGGCACAAGACTGATCAACATGGCGCACGTTGATCCACCAAGGCTGCCAAACTTCTGAAGCCAGAAGGACAACCATAGCACAAGAGAAGCCAGCACTCCGTAAAGCCAGAGTTGCAAATGTTGCAACAGTGGTGCCCACACGTCTGCCCGACATGTGGCAGAATACTCCATGCCCGTATTGGCCTTATCAGCCACCTGCGGACACACCGTGGACAACTCATGACTTGTTAGATGTCAAGGTCCTCATCGAAAACGATGGATGAACATCACTGTTCTGATATCCAGCACTGAAATACTTTGTGTCAGTCTGGCACTTCGCACCTGTATTAAATAAATATTCCTTGTGCTGGTGTGCAACTCCTGTGCAGCAACACTTGCTTTAGATTTACACGAAATCTCTGTGGTGGACATTTTCCCCCAGGTGTTAAACAGCAGCTTGATAACTTTGGAAAAAGCAAAAGAACATGCCCTGGCATTAAAAAGAAGAAAATGAACCTGAAAATCCAAGAGTTTGTAGGTGGGCTGCAATCATCAGGTTTATAAGTAAATTGATACACACGGGGAACAATTGGCTAGAGTAACTGTAGAAATAGGAAAATTTAGACATTGATCTCCGATTCTTTTTTTAGTGGGGGAGTTTATTCTAAGAATAGCTGTGCCCATCATCCGGAACACTTTCCTCTGGAACGTATTACGGAAGACAGAAAATGCGATATACAGGTTACAAGTGGCCTGCACTTAACCTTGCCGCAGTGCTTTCTTGTTTTGGATTTTATCGCCGAAATGGTTTTGACAGTATATTTTAAGCTGCGATTTTAATGTTACATGCAAACTGCTTATTTATTCCGGGAAAGAGTATGTGAACATGATTTTCTTTCAATTTTCAAAACTTTTCTTAAAAAACTAAGTCCAAAGATTACTCTTCGTGCATTTCAGTATCGAACACTTGAGTGAACGAATAGTCACGGAAGCCCTGCCACCGCCGGTGGAGCTCGGATCCGGTGTCAAAGGTAGAACAGGCCGAATTTCGTCACGGAACGCAGCGCGCAATTGCACGCGGTAGTCTCGCCCTCAAAATTGTAGCGTTGGTGCCATTGCCACACTTCACTTTCTTTGCGGCCACTTTGCGCGGCGCGATCCTCTGCAGAGATAAGGCAGAAGTCCTACAACTTTCAGCGTTTCCCAGCCGGCACATTTCGAAGAGCTCCGAGTACTTTATATGTACTTAAAAAACAAACAAACCTCCCTCAAGACAATGCCCAGACGAAAAAGAGCAGGGACTTTATTTTTGACGGGGACGCGCTCTTACGCCATCACACCAATCCGAGGTTTCTCGCGTTGTTCGCTAGGGGCACCGCTTTTCCGTCCCCAGGATAAGGAGCAAGACTTGAAAACTTTCGCTGGGAAAGGAAAACGGCAGTTCTCCCAGTCTGCATGAAAGGTCTATGGTCAGCCGAGTCGGGAAATACCGGGAAGGGGGAAAGGTCCCAACTTCCGGTTGCGCATGGGAAAGGACTGGCGCCACTCTGCCCGGATCTCTCTATGGTGGAATTCACCCGCCCTTGGTAGTTCTTCCGCTTGAAGGTAAGCGAGGGAAAGCGGGTTGAAGCCAGACCGGAAGAGTTGGTGGGGAGGGCGGCCATGTGTGTTTCGCATCTTTTCCTGCGTATGTGATCGCGTCCACGTGGGGAAGTGACCAAAGCTGGTTCCCAGGTAAGGCTCGTTGGCAGAGATGAGCAGTAAAGGAAAAGCTTTCTAGTGCGCTGAGTCATGCTTTGCGCAGCCACCTGCATCTTTCTTCCCCAGCGGCCTTCTTTCTGCTTGCACTGATTCCAAAGGAGCCCCAAGGACTTTATTCCCTATTTGGAAATAATAGCCTGCCTTTCTTTCTCTCTCCCTGCCTCCCCCCCACCCCCAAACCCCAACACCATATGTTGCAAGAATGGTTGGCCTTTGAGTCCTTTCCAGCATTCTTCAGCAGAGCTTGGTATTTGTTGCAAGTTTCTGTAAGAAGATAATCTCCAGCTCTTTTCACGTGTGTCTTGTATATGTAATTGTGGGCTCTGCTTTTCGGTCCCCAGGCATGAGTGCTGTAGTCCTGTTGCTGTTAGAGCCTCGATCACTTGGGGCTTCCACGTACTAGCACCTTCACGTGTGTAATGTCTAGACCTGTGTGGAGGAGGGGGGGGCTTACCCAAAGAAGTTATCTGGGGATGTACAATCAAAAGAACATTTATTGTATACATGCATATAGGCAGTCCCCGAAGGAACTGGAAATGGAGTTTATACCAGCATTTATACCAGTTACAAACAGTTTGCGGGGTGGGTGAAGGATGACACAGCTTGTTAGAAGTACATTAGAATAAAATAATAGGATTGAGTACAATATAAAAGAAGAGAATCTTCAGGACAAGTAAACCATTAGCATCTCTTAAGAGTGTACCTCCAGAGGACTGGCAAGCAATTAACATTTCAAAGGTGCACTTCCAGTATTACTACCAATAATATTACTTGCCACATGGATTCCTAGGGAAATCCCATCTTAAATCTAAACCCTGTTCTTAGGGTTTTCAGCAGCCATTTTATGACAAAGCTTTGGCTCATTTTGCCCTGACCCTAGGTACCGCTTGGCAGATATCTGTGCTGAAAAGGACACTTCACTTTGGTTAGTTAGTCTATAGATTTCCTTCCTCTGTATGATGTCCTTGTTGTTCATCTGCAGGAAGGATACAGAGAGGTTGTTGATTCCTGACTTAAATGTGGCAATGTAAAATGGACATAGAATTGTAGCTGCTCTACGTCTTACTTAGAGCAGACCTATTAAAATTAATGCAATTTCCCAGGTCAGCCTGGGCAAGTATGGAAGCCTTAGGTATTTAAATGGGCCCTTTATTTGTCCATTGAATTGGCTGCAATGTCTTATTCTGTTAACAAATTTCATGTTTTAGGGGTCTGCTGGGTTCTGATCTGGGTAGATTCTGAAAGCTCATCACCCCATTTTTATTGCTTTGGCTTTCTTGGTTGAGCTGCTCTGCAGTGGCATGCCAGCTCACTAAGGAGCTGGCAGTGGAGACATGTGACTGGCAGAGGAGTGACTTTACCCTCCAGCTAGATCTTTCCTTCTCTGAATACCTAAAAAGGCCCATTGCTCTTTTAATTCAGTAATTGATTATGGCAACTAATAGTTTTAGGGTAGATTTCATCTTGGTAGTAATACTGGAGCAAGCAGATCCCAACTAAGCTATCCCTGGAGATGGCTGGGCAAAGAGCAGGGTAAGGACCCAAAGGATATGTCACAAATAGGATTCATCCTAAATTCTTACTTCCATATATGTTGTGGTAGAAGCAGCAGATGCATTCCCACAAAGTGATAAGCCCAAACCCCAGAGAATCCCGGTTTGTTTGTAAGTGACCCTGTTGGTATAGACTGCCCAATCATCTTCTCACCAACAGGAGCAACTTCATTAACCAGAAACTTAACTTGGAAGAAAAAAAAAGTAATGTTACATCTGAGTCTGGTCTGATGCTCTTACATGAAGCCCAGTTTGGCATTGGCTTACAATTCCTGCCTTGTTTGAGAACAGCAAGTAAGGATTTGGGTTTGGATGCAACTCTAAACTTTTTCTTGCTGGCAAAATGAGCCAGGATTATCTGAAATTCTAGCTTATTTTTTCTGTGAATGTGCTACTATGTCTGTCCTAACACTCATGGGAAAAAGAGCACAGCTTAATTTGTATCACATTTCTGATATTCTTGGTGTTAAGCAGTAAGCTATGATTCTGAAGGGTTTGGCTTATTGCTTTGTGCAAAAGAGGCCTCTTTGATGTAATGTTTCTGGATAGTTGCAGTGTCTCTAGCCACTGTTTCCCCTTTTGGCTTCTTTTCCCCCCCTTTCTCACTTGGCTTTGTTTTTATTTCCAATGTTCTATCATGTGGCATGAGAAGCAGAAATGAAAGTCAGATGCCACCTGACAGCTGATAATGCCTGACTATTTTAATAAATGTCTTTTCTCTTTCAGAGCAACTGGAAAAGCAGCCTAATTAGAATTAAAGGAAATGGCCAGAATTTTTCATAAGCCTCTACAGCAGGTAACACTCTTTGTGCTACAGTTCTATAAGAGGTAGATTCTGTTGAAGCTGGAGATGTGTATTACTGCAGAAACAAGGATGAGGAATTGAAGTTGCTTATGAGTACATGTTCGTGCTAAAGGGCTTTCCATAGCCTTCCGAAACCCAGTGCTCTCCAGATGTGCAACTTGGATCAACACTAGCCAGCACAGGCCCTGGTGGATGAGGAATGATGGGAGCTGTAGTTGAACAGATCTGGAGAGCACAAGGTTGGGCAAGGAGACATGTATGTATAAAAAAATCCAGAGTGGTTTACTGTAATGAAGTTTGGGGTCAAGAATAGGGGGAGATAGAGAACAGATTTGGAAAAAGGAACTGGCAAAGAAGAGAATGAAAATAGTGGTTGATTTCAAGTTCTAACTATAGAAGACCCTTCAGTATCATAGAGTCTGTTTCTTGTTTGATAAACCTAGGGGTGCTCCTTTTAAATTAATATTTCTATCCAGCCCTTTTCCTTCCAAGAAGTTCAAGGCAGGTTATGTACTTCTGTTTCTCTCAGTCCTGTCCTCACAACAGTCCTGGGAGGTAGGCTAAGCTGAGAGTGAGTGACTGGCCCAAAATCATTCAGTGTGCTTTGTGGCCAAGTGGGGACTAGAACTCAGATCTCCCATGTCCCAGTCTAGCAGTCTGACTAGTACATTAACACTGGCTCTCAGTACTAAAAAGCTCTGTGTCTTTTAACTCAGCTGCCTGGCAGGTGGAAATCAACAGGTGGCACTTTTTCATGCTGGGGAAGGCATATCTCATTATTTGCTTTGCCTCTTAAGTAATTATGTAGAGATGTGTACCTTCCGGCTATTTTTTAAAAAGTATACAGGCTAGGTGAAAGAAAAAGTTCTTTTTAAAATGTCCTTAAAAATGGCAGTCTTAATCCAGAACATCGACTAATTTATTCAGAATGTTTATATCCCATTTCAGGCTGCAGCTGTCTATCTGAAGTAGCTTATAAAATGATTCTCAAAACAAAGTCACACTTTAATCTAATACAAGAACAAAAATGATAGATTCATCTACTTGGGGATCCACTCACAGAATATTTGACTGGAAATGAATATATGTTCCATAGAATGAAGTAACAAAAGTACTTCAGTCATCATGACATTTTGCAGCCAAACTGTACTTTCCTGTCTTGTTCCTAAATTGTTCCTGTTAATTTCTGTCCTCTCTGCCCTAATTTCAGCATTCTTCCCACTTGGACACATTAAAACAGCAGTGGGCAGAAAGAAGATTGGGAGCTACCAATTTACCCTATGCAGTGGTACCTCGGCTCACGAACGCCTCAGTTCATGACCAACTTGGGTTGCGAACAAAAATTTCATAAAAATGTTGACTCAGGTCGTGAACTCTGCATTGGGTGGGGACCACGATTGCTGTTATCTCCCCATCCCCCTGAGTGGGGAGAAGGCCGCGATCATGCTGGGGGGGGGGGGCGTGGAGATGGCTGAGATCGCACCCATCTTTCCTGCACGAGCACGCCCATGATTGCACCCGTCTTTCCTGCAGGAGCGCAACCGCGATCTCGGACATCTCCCCCCCGCAGCATGATTGTGCCTGTCTCACCCCCCCCCCCCCGAAGCACGCCTGCGTTCGCGCCCGTCTCTCCCCCCGTGCGCTGGGATGACGGGCGTGTGCAGGGATGAGGAACATGATCACAATCGTGCTGGGGGGATGGGGAGATAGCCACAATCTTTGTTGTTCTTTGTCACTTTGCTTTACATTTTTCTGATTAAAAAAAATAATTACAGAACAGATTAACCTTATTTACATTGAACCTTATGGGGAAATTTAACTTGGCTCACAACCAGTTTGGGTCATGACCAGAGTCCTAGAACGGATTAAGTTAGTGAGCCAAGGTACCACTGTATGTCTAATTTTCAGTTGCTCAGGGATAGCAATAACAAAAAGGCATTCTCTAAATTGGATTACTAGTGTTTGTGATCTCTGTCTCTGTGATGTGAATTTGTATTCATACATCAGCACATCCCAACACATTGGGGTGTGCAGTAGGCAATTGACCATCATTTTGCACTTTGCCTTCAGGGTTCTAGGAAAAAACAACCATCAAGCAGCGTGGTAGATTTCTGAAAGCTTGAAGTCTGTTCTAAAATATATATGTGCAGGGGGAGAACAAATGAGAGGAAAAGGGACGAATTCAGTCAAAAACAAGATAGAAGTTATTCCCAAGTGTCTGAACATGCCTTTGTAGGTCTGTTTTGTTCTGGAAAGAGATTGCCTTTCTTAGCCAAGCACGTTTTTCAGACTATACTCTCAGAGGATATATCAGTAACATTTTTCAAGATATACATTGCGAGAGACAAATGGCCCCTGAGCAAATGCCTTTTTTGAATGTGTTGGGCTTATTATAGCATTTCCAGGTTCTTGGGAATAGTAGGACCAAAAGATATTTGGTTTCTGCTTGTGAGGCTGCCACCTCTTCAGCACTGATCCAGCTTCAAGCCCTACATCCCTCTAGCTTCCTCAGCTTCTCTCTAAGCAAAGGAAGAGGCAGGGATGCTTAAGTTCCCCCAGAGGGGACAGGGTCCTGGAACGGCAAGGACCTGAGAAGTCAGCTGACTAGTGGAAGCAGGGAACCCTGGGAAAGGAGGTGGGCAAGGGAATGGCCCAGAGGAATGTGGGAAGGGGAGAGGATTGTGGGTGTGGGTCAGCAAAGAAGTCCTCGTCTGAACCAAAGGTTGGGGACATGCAGAAAGCATGCAGCCTTCCCTGCCTTGATCTGCATTTAATGGGAAAAGTAGGTTTGGCCTGATTTCTTGACATTTGTTATTAATTGCATTTCTGTACTGATCAAAAGCTGAAGCTCTTTGCCTGGTTCACAGTAATTCACAAAATGATAGACTATGAATGATAAAAAACCAGATAGAGTGCCCATGTGCAAAATTAAAGCAATGTAAGCAGCTCAAAGCAATTTCAGTAACAATACTAGAGGTGTTTAAAAGACAGCTGATAAGAGTGCCCCATCATATGCCATTCAGTGCCTTAAGAGGGCAGGCTTAACCTGGCAAAAGGAGGCAGGGTTGGTGCCAGGCAGGCCTCCATGGGGTGATCCTTCCATCATTAAGGCAGCCACCATAGTTATTAGCAAAGGCAGCTGGTTGCTCTCTTGTTATGCCCTTGGGAAGTGGCAGGGGCCTAGCTGCTGTCAAAACTCTTTAATGTGCAAGCTGATGGAACCCCGGAGGAAGTGCTTTGCACCGTCCTCTCTCACATGGCCTGTAAGCAGTGATGCCATAAAGTCTCTCCTTCCCTGTCTGGTTCACTGTCCATTCAGAGGATCACTTCCCTGAATTCTGAGAATCCTTGTTGGAGCTGAGCCTTTCTTTCTTGAACCTTCCTTGCTCGCATTAAATCATGCATGGAGATGGGCCATGGCAATTAGATCAGCTAAAATGTGGCTGCAAACACCCAGCTACAGAAACATTTGAACCAGCCTCCTCCAGATGTTTTGGACCACAGCTCCCAGAATGCCTGATCATTACCCATGTCTGGTTCAAGCTGGTGGGAGCTGAGGGAGGCACCAGATTTGCTTCTTTAATATCTTCCCCTATTCTGATGGGGCAGCTTCTGATGGAAGGGTATTGCACTGTACAAATTACAGATCCTACGTCAGCCCAAGAGCCATTCTATTTCAGAGAAGCTCTTGGAAGCCATGTTGCAGTGGTGGATGGGAGCAAAGGCCTGGAGAAGGGGCCAGAATACCAAAAAAGCAGCCATCTTTTAAAGCTCTTGCTGCCAGAAACTTGGCCTTGACAGAGACATTTCAAGCTTTTGAATGGACAAAAAGAGGCACAGAAACTGGGAAACTAGCTAGTGGTTGGGATTTTGTGTTTGTGGGGTGGAAGAGCCAGGACTGCCTGGTTCCATGGGGAAGGAGGCACTGCCTTCCAGCATTTGGCCTCTCTGTGCAGGCAGGCAAACTCTCTCTGACTGTTTTGGCCCTTCATCTTCTCTCCTTAGATATGGCGCCAGTTTGTGAGGTATGAGTCTGAGACAACAATGCCCAGCGTACTTGAAAGATGTAAGTAACTTTTCTTGAGAATAGGATCTGTGGCTTCCAAGGGCAACCTTTGATCTGGAGTGGGTGCCATCAGTCCTGGGAGCCAAATCCAGCCCAGCAGGCCTCCTAATCTAACCTTCCAGAGTGCCCTACAAGGCCATGCATCCCTTCCCATGACTGTACCCTTTCCCCATGTACACTGGATAGATACCTTGTAGGTATCCCATTTTTCTAAAAAATTGAAAGTGATGCTTCAACATTTGGGGGATGAAGAGGTGCAAGTCGGAAATCCGGCAGCCAGAAAAGAGGGTTGTAGAGAGACTTGTATCTTCCTTCCTTATGTTCTTGCCCAAAGCAAAGGGGACTCCTTAGTTTCAGGACAAATCCAAAAAGAGACAGGAAGAGATTTCCTTCTGTTATGGTGAGGCAAGAGTGTAGCTCACCAGAGGTTCTCAATTGGCCCCTGTGGCTCTCCTTCACTTCACCTGGTCTCTTCTCTTCTTGGCCCATTGATTGTTTGGTAGTTTCTCAGCTTTTGTGCTGTTTCTCTCTCATTCTAAATGGTTGAAATGCACCCTAAGGTTTAGTGACTGGCAGCAAGTGCTTTAAGCTGAAATAAGCCGGTATTTTTACATTTCTAGATTTTTACCTCTACTCCCTCTGCTCTTGGCCTCAGCTACCACAGTCCACAAGGCTTCCTCCAAACTGGATTTGGCCCTCTGGTCCCCTTCCCCTGCTGATCTCCATGTTGGCTTCTAACTCATTTCTCACCAGTGCTTCATTTCCCTGGTTCTTTTAAAATTCGTATTTTCCTCTTGTTTTTCACAGCATTGAATCGGATCCACCTGCTTGGCCGTGTAGGGCAGGATCCTGTCATGAGGCAAGCGGAAGGGAAAAACCCAGTCACCATTTTCAGCCTTGCAACTAACGAGATGTGGCGCTCGGGAGACAGCGAAGTGCTCCAAGGAAGTGAGTGTGTGTGGCGGGGGGTGGGGGTGCCATTGCCATAAGCATAAGGGGAGTGAATGAAAATGTGTGCTCCCTGTTCTGTTTGCATCAGGCGATATCACGCAGAAGACGACATGGCACAGGATCTCAGTGTTCAGGCCGGGGCTGAGAGATGTGGCTTATCAGTACGTGAGGAAAGGGTGAGTTGAAACATAGGAACAGAGCAAGTCAGAAGGGGTCTCCCGGGCCATCTAGTCTGACCCCCGGCTCCAGCCAGCTCCGCTCACAACATGCCCACCATGCGCATGTCCAGCCTATCTTTGAACACCCTCACTGATGGGGCCTCAACAACCTCTCGTGGAGTTGGACTGCAGCAGGCCAGGGGACAGAATTTGTTCATTGCACCAGGCACTTCGCACAAGCAAGACCTTGTCGTTAGCATTCCTGATTTTCCAAGGCAATGTCAAATACCAGTTTCCCACACATTTATTAACTGTATATGTATAATGCTCCCCATTCAGGCATAAAGTTAATACCAATGAAATAATAAAACAATTCAGAATCATAGCAAGGCATAAATAATAAAAACAAGCCATTAGAAACATAACGGGCAGTGATGGCAAACCTATTAGAGACCAAGTGCCCAAACTGGAACCTCAAACCCACTTATTTATCGCAAAGTGCCAACACTATAATAAAACCTGAAAACTGAGGTTTTAGTTTAGAAAAAAACAACTCACAGTCAGTCCAAGCAAATAAATATATATCCTTGGCAGCGTACTGACCAGCCATGTGAAAGCTTGGACGAGTCGCAGCTAATGAGTCATGGCTCATTACGTCATTGCCTAGCGCCGCTACTCCTTTCCAAGTATACGCATGGCCCCTCTGTGCGCTCTTATCTGATGTTCGGCTGCTGGGGCAATGCTGGGGTGACTTGGCTCGCATGCTGACAGAGAGGGCTCTGCATGCCTGCTGTGGCACGCGTGCCATGGGTTCGCCACCACTTGCCTGACCCTACCTTGGTGCATTCCCCTAACCCTAATATAGGGGTAAAGTTCCATGGAAAAGAGGGCGATTTTGAAAACACCTTCCTTGATTAGCTTTTTCTGCACAGCTCAGCATTTGTGCCCATTCTAAATACAATGCAACCATTAAAATCATACCCCTTGTTTTTCTAACCCTATGATGGGGAGACCAAATGCCCAAACCGCAACCCAAAACCTACTTATTTATCATAAATTGCCAGCACTACAATAAAACCTGAAAACTGCGGTTTTAAATTAGGAAAAAACAACTCACAGCTGATCCAAGCGCGCATGTGCCCATATATATATAAAAATATATAAAAAATAATGCAGTGCACAGACTGGCCATGCGAAAGCTCAGACGAGTCGCAGTTAATGAGTTGGGGGTCGTGACATCATTGCCTGGGGCTGCTACTTCTTTCCAAGCATGCTCATGGCCCCTCTGTCCCATTTTCCCATTTTCAGCTGCTGGGGCGATGCTGGGGCGACTTGGCTCATATGCTGACAGAGAGGGTTCCGCATGCCCGCTGTGGGACGCATGCCATAGGTTTGCCACCACTGATAAAGGGGATAAAGAAAGGCTCCCTGGAATACAGTGGTCTTTACTAGGTGCCCAGAACAGTGAGTTTTGATGCCTGCCTGATCTCCAAAGTTAGAGAATTTCATAGAAATGGGGATGCTTCACTGAAGGCTCTTCCAGTGGACTCCAGTCATGCCATGGGCCCATGTGGGACCCCTGCAAGAATGTCCTGCAGTGACCTCAGTGACCAGGCAGGTTGATAAGCAAGAAGGTTCTCTCCCGAGTCTCCCCAGGTACTTGGGACTGCTGCACTCACCTGAGAGCCCAACATTGCAGAGGATAAGCTGATCTCTAGGCAAACCCAGATTAGCTGCCAAAATGTAGGAAGACCAAAACGGAGAATTATTTTGTTGAATAACATGTATGGTTCTCTAGTGTGGATGAGGCCTTGTCCATTTACTTCAGTGACTGCAGAGAAATTTTGGGCCTGCTGGACAAATCTTGCTCTCCTGGGGTCCCAATCCAGCCCTCCAGACTTTTTCAGCCACACTCCCTCTTACCTGGTTAGCAATCATTTGCCCAGTTCTAAAAAGTTAAAATGCCTCTCCTAAGGCTTCAGTAGCAGGAGTAAAAGCAGTGCATTCAAAGGCACCGGTATTGTGGTCCCACTCCTTTGCCTGAGGCCCACCCATGCTCGAGTGCAGATCCTAAGAGGGCCTCTAGAACGGGATTCGGCCCGCAGGCTGAAAGAGGCTCGGCACTTCTGCTCCTGGGCAGTGTAGAGCATCCGAAAAGAGGCTTCCTCATAGCCACTTTCTCAGAAGGGAAGAGTCCATGACAGCTGCCCGTTGATGCCTTGTCCTCTTTTCAGAAGACTTGCCTGGGATGGTGGTAAGGCAGGGCCAAGGCAGGCTTGCAGTAGGGAAAAGAAATCCACTACCAGAACAAGGCTTTCTGTGTTTCTGTAGGAACCCAGGGCATATCCTTTGGCCTACTGCTGTTTAAGGGACCAGGTTAGTGACCTTGCTCGTTTCGGTCAGACAGTGCTTGCCAAACATGAAATGGGCACTGCTCCTCAAAGCATAGAGGATTTTCTCAGGTGTGAGGAAGGACAGAAGATCTGGTGCTGAGATCTGGGCTAGCATCTGAGCTGTAAGCCATGTAGCCTCTGGTTCAAAATCCGCCCTCTCCATGAGCTCTCTGCTTACTCTCAAGCAAACTGGTCTCCATACCAGCTGCCAGTCTTCAATTTGTGTATGTATCAGGTGAGAGGTAGATATAAATGCTTACTGAGTTTGCAAGGCTGTTGTCGCAGGGGCTGAGATAAAATCTGCCCAGTGTTTTTAATATTATAAAGCAAGGATCATCACCCTTTTTGGGTCGCTGGGCATATCTGGAATATTGAGAGTATTGTGGGCACTCCCACAAAAGGCCTGCCATGAACTGAAGGCTTATTCATTTATAAAATGGTTGTCATAGCAGGTGTGGCTATTCATTTCCCAGAAGAAAAACTGGTGAAATGAAAATTAACCTGTCCCCAAGCCTTGCCCATTCATAAACTGATTGTAGTGGTGGCATGGCTGGTCATGTAACATTCATTGTCCTGAAGGCAAACTGGTGAGATTTAAAGAAATAAGTACAAGCCAGAGGCGGAAGCTGGACTCTAGAACCCAAACTCCTCCTCCTGAAGCCAAATAAATGGTGCTGGAGGCAGCAGTTTGGTTTGCAATGTAGCAAGCCTCAGAATTTCATAACAATAATTTAAAAAATCTTAAAGTCAAATTCCAAAGTGGAAGGACCTTATGCATGCCATATGCATGCCAGGAGGTCTCCAAGGGATACAAATTACCTGGAGGGCACTATATTGGAGACCTGAGTTGTAAAGAGGCAGATCTGTCTCCCCTATCTGGCCTCTTCAGCCTGTGTTGGACTGCACACCTGGAGGGCACCCCATTGAGGAACTATTAGCTCTATGAATGCCAAATGGTAGTTAAGCTCCTTGCACACTTTGGGCTCTTTCCTCATGCATTTTGCTGCATCTTGTGATTGGAATCTAAATTTGCCAGTGTGTGGCCATGCAGGCCGCCAGTGCCAGCCTGCCTGCAGCTTTGAGTCACCAAGTTCTTGCTGCCCAGCAGCATTAACTTTGGTAGCCTGCCTCGATCAGATAGCTGGAAGGCAGGACCATGGCCCAGTGGGAAGAGAGCCTGCTTTGGATGCAGAAGTTCCCAGGCTCAGTCGTGGCATCCCCAGGCAGGGCTGGAAAAGCTCCTGCCTAAATCCCTGGAGGGTGGTTGTCCATCAGTGTAGAGAATCCTGGAGCAGGCGGACTGTTGGGCAGAGTCTGCAGCAGGCAAGTTCTTGGCATCCTCTTATGTCAGCCTTCCCCGTAGTCTTTCAAAACCTTCCTTTCCCTCTGTCCTTCTCCGATTTCACGACTGAAGCAATGAGCAGCATCTGTTAATGGCAGCACTTAAAGCCCTGATTTAATTAGAAGGCAGTAAGATGAGAATTAAAACTGGATGTTGCCATTAATCTGTCCGTTGTCTGTGCTTGACTCCCGGCAGCTCTCGGATCTACGTGGAAGGGAAGATCGACTATGGCGAATACTTAGATAAAAATAATGTGAAGAGGCAAGCCACAACAGTCATTGCAGGTAGCAGCTTTTCGATGCCACAGGTGGCTGAGTGTGGGGGAAAGGGATGTGCCCCTAACCAGGTGCCTGTTCCCTCTTCCTCCCCCTGACCACACACTGGGTTTAAATAGAGCTGTGTAAATCCCTTCAGCTTTTAGCCTGTGCCACGGGGTGTTGCTGCTGGGAGCTGTTCACAAAGAGAACAGAATGGGAGGCTTGCAAAGGCTGATTCCCCAGAATCTGGTGCCAATCCCAATGTGTTGGCCTACAGTGCCCATCATCCCCAGTGGGAATGGCCTTGTCTGCTGATGGTGGTGGGCACTGGAGTCCAGCTGGGGGACCAGGCTAAGGATGACTATCCTAATTTATGCTGGTAGATTGTAGCTGGTAAACATTTGCATCCTTTCCGTCCACCAGCAGAGTGCGATCAGGATATTTCTCTTTTTGCAATCGGAACGCCTTGCCTGAAAGTTCCATTTCAAGAATTTAGCAGGAAGTACTTGCCCATCTGGATGTACCACAGACTGCAGGTTTTTCTCCAACTTTCTGTATCTGCCAAAACGAAAATCTTAAAATTCAACAGGATAAAATGCAATATAAAAGGTATAATGGGATAAAGACAAATTAAAAGCCAGAGAGATGCAGTGTCAAGTTTAAAAAATGCAAAGCCCATTAACAAAAAAATGGACTGAAACACCTGGACAAATAGAAAAGACTCTACCTGGTACCCCAAAGACCACAACACAGGTGCAAGCCACTCCTCTCTGAAGAGGGCATTGCAGAAGTGGGGTGCTGCCACTGAAAAGCCCTTTCCCTTAGTAGCCCCCTACTTCACCTCATGGTGGGGTCACCCAAAAGAAGCCCCCTGAAAAGGATCTTGAGATCTGAAAAGGTTTATATGGGAGCAGGACCCTGCCCTCTCCCCCCACGCGTGAAGTAAGCCTGTGCGATAACATCCATGCACCCCAGTGGGCCATTCTCAGAAGCCTTAAGCTTCAGTGTAAAAGGGTCAGAATATTATGAGGCAAATGGTTTTCCTGCAACCTTTTCCCTGTCTTTGAAAAGATAAAAGCTCTCAGTTACTGCTGTCTCCAGCCACAAGGGGAACATATCTCTCCCTGGGGAGACCGAGAGCAACAGAGAATCATGCTTGTGTTTAAGTTAGCACAGCCAGAAATAGATGATGTTAATAACATTGCTGTCGATATGAACAATAAATATTCCAGTCCCATTCTCTGATGTGGAGCCAACCACATCAGAGTCAGAAGTGAAGGGGAAATGGATAGTTACCGGTTGCAGACACAGGGCTAATAGCCTGATCCCATGCAGAGCTAAGCAGAGCTCAGTCTGTTGATTTCAGATATTTTGGCATGCATCCTGCGGGTTTTTTTAGTTTAGACTTATAGCCCATCTTGCGCTCTGACAGCACCTTCTGGGCAGCTCTCAACATGAAGCCATAATATCATTTAAGAGAACAAGGGAAGTCACCATAAAACCCAGTGATGGGAAATACGGTTAATTGCAAGTTCTCAGAATAGAGATACCCCCATGCACACATTCATCTTGACCTGGCAGGACAAAGAACCTTTTTAGATCTGGTTTTAGATCGGTTTTCAACCGATCCAGGTGAGGCAGTGGCTGTACTGAACCAGTGCCTGGCTGAGGTAATGGGCTGGATGAGGGCCAATAAACTGAAACTCAATCCGGACAAGACGGAGGTCCTTTTGGTGGGTGGTTCGAGCTTCTGGGTAGGTGACTTGGACCTTGCCCTGAATGGGGTTGCTGTCCCTCTGAAGGACAGGGTCCGCAGCTTGGGAGTGCTCCTCGACCCAGAGCTGTCCCTGGAGACTCAGGTGACTGCGGTGGTGAGGAGCACTTTCTTCAGCTTTGGTTGATCCATCAGCTGCGTTCCTACCTGGAGGACGATTGCCTAGTGACAGTGACACATGCATTGGTTACTTCCTGGTTGGATTTCTGCAACACGCTCTACATGGGGCTGCCCTTGAAGACAGTCCGGATACTTCAGATGGTGCAAAACAGAGCAGCCAGGTTGCTGATGGGGACTGGGCGTTATTCTCATATAACCCCAGTCCTCTACCAGCTTCACTGGCTTCCCATCGAAGTCCGGGCTCAATTCAAGGTGCTGGTTATTACCTATAAAGCCCTTAATGTCTTGGGACCTGGATACCTAAAGGAACACCTTCTTCCATATTTGCCCTCCCGCCCCCTGAGATCGGCATCAGAGGCCCTCCTCCAGGAACCCTCCGTGAAAGACATTAGGAGGCAAAGTACCTGGAGGAGGGCTTTCTCTGGTGGTGCCCCGCCTATGGAATGCGCTCCCCAGAGAGGTCTGCCTAGCGCCGTCGTTATTTGTTTTTCGGTGCCAGGCTAAGACCTTTTTATTTCAACAATATTTTAATAACTTTTAATTTCAGCTTATAGGTTTTAATCTGCAGCCAGGGTGGATCTGGATTTTATGTGTATTATGTTTTATTTTATTTTATGTAAGCCGTCCCGAGGCTATGCGATGGGACGGCATACCAATTAGATAGATAGATAGATAGATAGATAGATAGATAGATAGATAGATAGATAGAAGGCTTCTTCAGTCTTTAGAAAACTGGCCTGCTGGGTTTCTCCATGAAGAAAGCCCCTTCCTACAAAGGGAGGCTTTCTTCACGTGTGAGGGGGAGAGAGGGCATGGTCCTGCTCCCATGTATGTCTTCTCAGACCTTATGAACTGAGAAGGGTCCTTTCAGGGCCCTTCTTCTGGATAACCACCTCCTTTGAAGAGCTACTAAGAGAAAGGGCTTTTCAGTGGTGGCACCCCACTTGTGGAGTACCCCTTCAAAGAGGAATGTCTTGTGCCCGTGTTGTGGTCTTTGGGGCACCAAATATAGCCTTTTCCATTTGCCCAGGTTTTTCAGTCCTTCATTAATTTGTTTATTAATAGGTTTTGTATTTTTAAATCTTGACACTGCATCGCTCTGAATTTTAATTTATCTTTATTCCATTATCTCTTTCCCATTACATTTTATCATGTTGGGTTCTGAGGTTTTAATTTTGGTGAACTATCCAGAGAGCTTTGATTCTTGGCTAGTATAGAAATGTCAGGAACAAATATGAGCCAGCCTAGCATCAGGAAGCAGCAGCACCTGGAGCAAGGCTTGAGTTGTGGATCTTCATCTTCAGGATGTCTGATAGTGCTCAGACATGGCCTTGTCCCTAGGTAAAGTGAGGCAGCCACCTTAGTTTGCAGGTGGAAACAGTGGCAAAGTGCTGAAGTCTGCAGCCTGGCCTGTGCCCCTGAAGCTGCCCTGCGTTCCTCAGGTGTGAAGGCAGATGCTGTCCATCCCCTGTGTTGAACGAGACCACACTCCCAGTGGTTGCCTTCTGAGACAAGATGGAAGGGGTGGGGGGACTGCTGTGTTACTTTCCCCTTCAGGTGACAGCGTGTCTTCAGCTGGGCAGCTGCTCTGCCTCCAAATGACAACCAGGCGTCCCTCACAGATGCATTCAAGTTTTCCTAGGTAGGAGGGAGAGGGGTTGGTGGGCAGGACTGGACCAAGCCATTGTAGCCTGCCTGAGACAAAGGTTAAATTTGCACATTATTCCTGTGTACAGAGATGGACCACTGTGGTAACCGAATTGTATTTCAGGCAATGGTAGTGATCACAAGATGGCTTCAGGGGTCCAGGAGAGGCTGCTTAAGATCTACAGGTCTGTCCTCAGCTTCTCAGGACTGTTCCCCCTGCTTGTGTTGCCTGCTTCACGTTGCCTAAGAACAGGGCTGGCCCTGCGTTGCAAGGGGGTTCCTGCTTCATTTCTGGCATTGCCAGCTAAAAATGATCTCAGTTCTGGGGAAAGACCCTCTGTCTGGGTCTTGGAAAGTTACTGCCAACCAGATTGGGCAGTAGAGAGAGCCAGTGTGGTGCAATGGTTAGAATGCTGGAGTGTGCCCTTCCCCACTCAGCCACGGAGCTCCTGGGTGACTTTGGGCCAGTCACTGACTCTCAGCATAACCTGCCTCACCGGGTTGCTGTAGAGCAGGGTGAGAGGATTGTGTAAACTGTCTTGGATTCCATGCAGATAAACAGGCATAATATAAATTTAATTTAACAATAGTGTATCTGTGCATAGGCATGCTAGTTCCATCCTGGAGGTAGAAAGAAGAAACGAAGCCTCTGTTGGATTGTGAACTTCTTGTGTCTGTGTATGTTCAAATCTATGATTATTTATGTTTTCTCCCACTTTTTCTTCTTTCCAGATAACATTATTTTCCTGAGTGACTATACAAGAGAGAAAGAATGAGGTTACAAAAGAATGAGGCTTGTACTGTTTCTTCATTTTTGTAGTGTTTCCTAAATCTGTAATCATGCCCCTGCTTATAGATTGTTTGCCAAGATTAAAAATAGTCTTTTTTTAAATTAGGGAAGTGTGAGAGTGTTCTGGCTTTATTTTGAGAGGGAGTTTGTTTTCATTTGAGTTTTTTACATCTGTATGTTTTGTTTTTTTAAGGAAAGCCAGTGTGTGTTTGCTGGATGGGTAGGTGGGTGTGGTATGAGGAAGAAATGTGACTTATTTTTCACTTTTGCCTATCATGGCTAGGTTTCACTGTTCAGATAAACTTCCTTCTCAAAGCAACTATGCAAAAGCTTGCTTGCTGCTTCTCTCTGTTGTCACATCTGACCATTTTTTTCTACCTGTGTTAGTGCCACCTCAATGTGCTTTACTAGGTTAGGCAGCAAACATAGAGCTGAGCAGAATCTGCCGTAGTACCACTCTGACTGGCCTACTACTGCCATTAGCCTTCTTTTTAAAAAACGTAATGTTTCATTTTTCACTTGCTATCTTGAAAAACTGCTTGGCATATTCACTACTGAAAAGGAAATCATACATACATTAATATCTTGTTAATATTGTACATGAGTTTGGGGTCTCGGTTGGAATTTGGCAAGGCCATGTACCCCTGTTTCCCCACCTGGGTTAAGCTGCTGTTGTGCCGGGTCTCAGTAGCAAAACTAGGCTTTGTATGTAGAGGCCCTGGAGCTCCTTGCATCTGCAGTTGGTAACATGGCAAAGGGGGTGGCAACAATGGTTTTGAAAGTATTTGTGAAAAGGGATAAAATATTTGACTGCGCGTGCTCCAGCTGGCATCATTGCCCTCACTCTGAGCTGTCGTTATGATGATGTCTCCAAGCCTAGCACTCTGATTCTAACATTCTGTTGTGTGAAAATAGAATGGGAAGGAGCAGTGAGGAACAATGGTGAACATGATTAAAAAAACCCCAGAAACAAAATGGGTAGCAAAAGAATGGATAACAAAGAAGGAATGGGTGGGCAGCCTTTGTGAAACAATTTTCCCCATCCAAAGGCCTTCTTTCAAGCTTTAAAAATTGCTTTCAAACATTCTTCTCATTTATTTATTGTGTTTGATTTACAAGTTGCTTTAAAGGCAAAGCTTTCCACACCATACATAATGAAAGCAAATACAATGAAACCAATGGGGAAGATGCATCAAAAGATTTTCTTTAAAAGCAATAGCAAGAAAGGGATTTTTGGTAGTCGAGCAGGGTAAGATTCCTCTCCATGACCTTGGAGAGCTGCTGCCATTATTGTAAACTACTGGGCTCGATTGACTGTAAAAGGCAGAGTCCTAGGTCCAGCGCGTGTGTCCTGTACCCCCTGATCAAGTGCATGCCTGATCAGGATTCTGCTCTTTGCCCAGCCTGGTCTGTGTTGCAGACCTGTTGCAAGCTGGCCTCAGAATCAGGATCCTTGCTTAGACAGAGTCAGAGCATTGCTCTGCAGAGCCCAGGATGTTATGATTGGCAGTGGCTGACCCACATGCCTCTGGGGCACTGTGCCCTGCCCCAAGCAATCCTTTTCCTCATGCATTAGCTGAAAGGTGTGGAAATTGCAGCCCACACATCTCCCCAAACTGCATTTTTCTAGGAGCAAGTTTTGCTTCATGACCTTTTAATGATCTTTTCTCTTCCTGTTCAAAATTTGTTTTCCGCTTCTGGTCTTCTTCTGTGCCTGCAGCTCTTGTCAGTTGAAATTTGGCTGCACGAGAATATGATACACGCTCAAGGCTGATCTGATAAGCTATTGAGGAGCCATGCAGGGGGTGGGGTGGCTGTTTTGGTGGAAACCCCCCCCCCCCCCCGAGATATTGGTGGCTGAGCAGGAGAAAAACAGGCTGGCCGGGTGACTCAAAGCACCAGTGGCCAAATGTTTGCACAATGTCACTGGGAATGTCAGATTGTGTTTTCTTACTTCAGTGTTGCACCACCATGTCAGCCAAGCCAAAACACCTGGCAGCTTCCAGAGTAAGAACAAGGACTACAGTGCTGCATCCACTGAGCCTTGCACTGTTTCCAGCAGAGGCCAGCCGGAGAGTGCTTGGAAACTCTCATACAGGGCCTGAAGGTGCTGACAGCTGAGCCTGGCTTGCCCCTGGCCCTGGACAGTCAGTGCAGCTCAGTGGGTAAGAGCCTTAGCTGTGAACCAAGAAGCCTGTGGTTTGGATTGTGTTGCTGCCAGGTATGCACTAGGCAAGCCACTCTCTCCCAGCCTTAGTCCCCACCCGCTGCAAACCTGCAATACGGGAAATAATGCTCAGCTTATGGCTGGGGTGCACAGCCATTTTGGCCCTGACAGCTGAATCCAGTACGTGGTAGCAGGCTGCAGGCCATGTAGGTGCACACACACACACACAGTTGTCCTGCACAGAGATGAGTGTCCCTTGCCAGAGCTAGCACTGTCAGGACACCCTCACCTTACCACCCATCTACTATCAGAGAAAAGGGAAGGATTTCAGGACCGAGAAAGTTGCCTTATACTGAGTCAGACCCATCGTCCATTGAGCTCACTGTTGTCAACACCGTTTGGCAGCGGCTCTCCAGATTCAGGCAGGATTCTTTCCTGGGGGGGGCCAGGTTTCAAACGTGGGACCTTCTGTATGCAAAGCATGTGCTGTCTCTCACTGAGCTGCGCCCTGCCCATGTGGACAAAGAATATGTGCCATGGTGCCAAATCTCTGGGTTTCCTCCTCCCTACAAAGTGAAAAGTTCGTTCTTGAGTGGTAGAATAAGAGCTGCTGCAGCATCTGTAAGGGGACATTTGCTTCCACCATAAGAACATAAGAAGAGTACAGTTTCATTTATGTTTATGTTCTAATAAAGTGCATTATACCTATGTGATTTTGAAACAGAATGGGAAGCAGCCATATACCAAATCAGGTCCCTGTTCCATATATATCTCAGTATTGTCAACACTAACTGGCAGTAGCTCTCCAGTGTTTCAGGGCTGGAGATGCTGTGAATTCAAACTGTGACCTTCTCATTTACCATTAAGCCACAGAGCCTTTTGCTAGTGAGCAATAACCAGGATAAACCTGCCATGATCTCTGGGTAGGCTCCATGAACTGCACTGGGAGCAGTCAGAGCTATATGAGGACTACAGGCTGCACACTTTGCCTTAAAATGTTGTAAGGATTGCAACTTGATAACTCATTTGAAGTACACCTGAAGGCATACCAGGGTTAGAAAAACATTTGGCCTTCTTTCTGGATTCTGTTTCCCATCAGCTCAGCCGACCTAGTCAATGCCCAAGATGCAAGTATAGGGAATTGGACAGTCCTATTATGTCTAATCAGTGAAGTGCCACCTAGGAAAGCCAAGGCTTCAGTCACTCTCAGGTTACATCCTGTTCAATATGTTTCTTGTTTTCTGCCTATTGGATACCTCAGTAGGGGTTTATTTAGGTTGCTAACTGCTGGAGGCATAGTATTGCTAATACTTTATAATCATATGCTTTGGTGCTACCCAGTAGCTGTTTCTTTTTAGGAGGAAGTAATGATATGTATAAACTTTGTATTGGAAATTATCTACCTGTTTCATGGAAGGTAATGCACAATCAACCTAAATGGATTTTCTGTGTACTTATGACAGTTAAAAGACTGCTAAGGGCTCACCTCCTATAGTTTAATGAAGACCTTACGGTGGCTTCAGCATTTGAACAGATCGTAGGCTATCTTCTGTTTGATCTTGTGCTTGATATGTGGAAAGCCATTGTTGTGAAGTGGTTACAGCCTTAAACTGGGGTCTTAGGAGATCTGGATTCCAGTGCCCATTTATCCATGAAGTGATATTGACTATTGGCCTAACCTGTCTTAGTTCTCAACAGAGTCAATGTGAAGCTAAAATGGAAAAGAGGAAAACCATGTGAGCCTCCTTCAGTTCCTTGCAAGAGGAAAAAGGCAGGATATAAATACAAAATGAAAATGTTAAAAAATCAAATGTATATAGTTGATTTTTTCCTTTTCTCACCTCTCATTTTGTTGTGCACATCAGAAATAAGTTTGCATCTCTGCACGGTACAATTTTTTGGTATTACCGACAGTTGGATGCATAATCCTTTCATGCTGGCTTCATTTTTAACTGAGGCAGCTAATAAAACAGTTGATAGATCTCCCCAAGCTCCCAGATTAGGAAATGTTAGTGTCTCTTGGCCTAATATATATCATTCCAGGCAAAGATGTGTAAACAGAACAGTATGTGCTCTGGAGGGTTTGCGCTCTCTCTGGCGCTCTCTCTGGAAGGATTCAGACATGCAGCTCGGTCACTGCCGGTTGCTGTATCATTACCGGAGCTAAGCAAGTGTGGATTTGGTTCAGCCCCCTGGATGGGAGTGCCCTTGAAGGAGTGTGCAAGGGTGGAAGGCAGAGGTGGTGGTGATGCAGTGCATTCTGAAATGTTAGAGGCTGGCAAAATCTGCAGCTCGTGAGTCAGGGATTCCCATAGTGGTGCCTGTGGGGTCCCACAAAACCTTTAAAACAATGTTCTCGGGGAGATCAATAGCAATATTTACATATGAACAAGGTTGGGAACTTTGCCTGAATGGTCTGGTTCTTTCCATCCCTTTGCATTAGCAGAAAAGGTATAGAGTCCTTATAGCTCAGGCAGTAGCTTTCCAGATATAAATCTCTCTACAATCCATTGTGCTTAAAAACTTTTAGCCTGTGCTGTAATTCAAATCCTTGGGGCAGGGCAAAGGATCAGTGGTATTTGGTTTGTGGCTGTTGTGCAATCAGGAACACTGGGCCTGAATGAGTCGGTGTTTTGCTTTGTGGGGGCTGGGAGGCATGTACATGGGTTGAACACCTCTGAAGTTAAGGTTTCTTTACCAGGAGTCTAGGTAAAGTGCAGGATTTGCCTGCAGAAGCTCTTGGCATCTCCAGAAAGGGCTAGGGAATACCCCTGTCTGAGATTCTGTGCAGCTAAGGGTAATAAAAGTAGAGTAGGTCAGACTGGGCAGACCTCTGTCTTGAAAGCTTTTTAAGTAGAACGCTGAGACCTGCCACCAGAGCCTGGTGCAAATGAAGCCAATCAAAGGATCACCAAAGAGTGTCCAAGCTTTTGAGATG